ACTAGAGCTGGGTTAATTGTTTAAGTCTAATAATAACAATTGTAATCGGCTACTATCCATAATACAGGTTATGGATTATTGTATTATGGAAGACATTGTAATATATTTATTTATTTATTTTTCATTTCTTGGGTCCTTTTAAAATAGAAGCTACCCCAACATCCCTCCCGATTGAAGGCGGGACCCCCCCCCCCACAAGCCACTCAGGGTGACACAGCAGATACTGATGACATCACCAAGCTCCGCCTATCACCTCCCAACCAACGATTTTCTTGTCATCGGATGAGTCCAATAATGGATTAGTCAATTAATGTAACCATTAGCCAGTGGAGTAATTGACCTAACCAATTAGCATTAACATCGTTTAGCCATGGAGTTAAAGGACTTCACGGGTAAATTTTGATTTAAAGCTTTCGTGACTGCAGTGATTCATATTCTTGGTTCTTTCGGTAAAGTCACGTTGAAGGGAAACAATAAAATAATATATATGATTATTTTATATAATATTATTTTTCACACCTGATGATGACTGTTTGCGTTACAGTCGAAACGTCGTGAGAATTTTATTGTTTTATATATATTATTATTTTATTGTTTCCCTTCAACGTGACTTTACCGAAAGAACCAAGAAAATGACTTCACGGGTGTTAAGTGTGTAATTGTAAACGGGCAAAAGTCCAAACGAGTTCACAGAACGCCATACCTGATGACACGGGGCGCTGTTGTGCAACCAGAAGTTAACAATAATGTAAGCTGTAACGTAATATATCATGGGCTATAAATTTATAGCAGCTCCTCAAAGTGAACTGTGATCTGGGTTGGAGTGATGGAGCAATTGTTAGACCACTGTGTGCTATGGTCCCGGCGACCTGAGTTCGATTCCTGGCCACAGCGAATACAATGTGTAACAAAAAAAACGTGTTCCTGGGTAGTAAGTGTTATTTCATAATTGCTTATGCCTCAAAATTACAGAAAATGGCGATTATTCCCCACAAACTTTTATTCTGTGACCAGGACAGTGATATTTTGAAATGTACGTATTTGCAGTGAGAAAACGTGGTGTGCATTTGTGTGTCATTCCTTCACGTAATGTCCTGGTCACAAAAGCAAAGTTTGTGAGGAATAATAACAACCATTTTCTATACTTTTTAGGCATTAGCAATTAAAAATAACACTACCCAGGGACCAACAATCGTGTTACATAGCGATATCAGCGTCGAGTAATACCAACACTACCATGTGTGGTGAAGTATGGTCAAACAACCCCCATGGCTAACTAGAAACATGACATGAGGAAGCCTACACCCAGTAATTCATTGGCAGTCTTGCAAAATATTATTTATGTTAACTTTACGTGGGTGCTTGGGGTTTTCTTTAACGCTTTCCACGTAAGGACGAAACGTCCATGCCTTACAGGCCGTCCATAAATGACGTCACGCGATTGTGGACGATTTTTGCCCCCCCCACCTCATCACACGGCGCACCAAAAAGTCAGACCCCTCCTCAAATATGACGTCACAAAGCTCTGCCCCCCCCCTCCCCAAACCATATTTCCATTTTTAAAATAAAAAATGCTTTAAATCGCTTTAAACTATTGTCATTGTAGTGTGTATTTAATGTGGCGCTGCACTCTGATGTTGTAGGAGAAAACATTTATTAAAAAATCTATCTAATTAAGTAGAACGTGTTGTCTATAGTTATTTAAAGTTGCGCATTTTGATGTGACGTCACATTTCTCACCCCCCCCCCCCGTCACACATCGTCACAAATGTCTGACCCCCCCCCCCCCATCTACTAGGTGCGTGACGTCATTTATGGACGGCCCCTTAGTACTTTTGAGAACAAACGCATTTTGGGAAAACGTTCCACAACACCCGCGTATCTGGACGATTTTTCTTCCTTGTTTACAGTTGCCACGTGTTTCAGTTTTCAGTTTCATTTATTTGGTATAGCCATGTGAGCCATTCGACTCTTGAATCGGGTGCAACCGCAACAAACAAAAACATGAACAAGAAAACATCTTAAAGTGACTACGCGCAAACAGAAAAATCCAGGAAAAAACAGCAAAAAAACCCAGCAAAAACTTCCAGTAATAGCAACGTATACCAACGTCTGTGGAGGCGATTAAAAAAAAAAACGTGATACAACACTGACAGCACGTGGCGTGGCTCTTGACTTCTCGACTCGAGCTCAAGAAAAAAAACACATGCATTCGGTCTGTCCGTCCCGTCCGTCTGTCACAAATAACTCTCATAAAGACGATCCATTGTGAAAGGAACTTTAGTGTAAAGCAGTTGCATTGCTATTTAAGGTCTTCATCTAGCAGTGTGGGTAGAGAGTGGCTGATGACGATGACGTGCTGCTAGCTACGGATGTGCTGCTTCATCTGCGCCTTGCGCTACCGCCTCGGGTAAAAAACGCATCTTGATAAACGGTACGTAAGCCATGCGTACGCCTGGTTCTTCTTACTTGTTGTTTGTATGTTTTGCCACAAATACGTGTGGTTAATGCGGACTTGATTCCTTGCAAAATGTGTATCCATTTGGTGTTTGGACATCTTAACACCTGTTTTTTTTTGCCAGAAAGGGTAAAAAAAATATATTAATATGTTTTCATACTTGTTTTAAAGACCTTGCATCGTGCAACAATATTTAAATGGCAGCTATCAATGTCTAAATGTAGAAATGGAAAATATAGTAATATCGACGGGTGTACAAACTGCGGTGCAGCTGTTGCAAACCGCTCAGGTGTATTGGTGGAATTCCCCTCTGAAAATAAAACGACGTCACCGTATTGACAAACACGAATCCCCCAAGACAGACTCCTCATCAAAACAAAGGCAGAATGCCCCTTGCATTTTATGTCATCACAATCAAGATAACAATAGAGCAGTAATAAATACATAAGCCTGCGTGTCACGCTCGAGTATAATGGAGAAAAAAAAAAACAGTAGACAATGCTGAAAGAAAACCCCTGGTAACCCCTAAAAAGGTACAAAAACAAGAACCAGCCATAACAAGAAGACGCAGTACGAGACACACACAAACCAACAGAGCACAAAGGAAACGGAGACAACAAGACCTTATTCACGAGACAGCACAAACGCAGCACGAATTCGATCGCAGATAGGACAGTACGGTGACCAGGAAGGCAGACGGAACAAATCTTCCGCGGGAAAAGAATACGACAAAAGAGACATTAGCACACGTTACACGGAACCAACTAGCCGGTACAAATGAGACAGGCAAGGCGAAAACCACGCAGAATACAGAAGGCACTTGGCCAAAAAACGTTTTAAAAAATGAATTTGCCAAACATATCCCAGTGTAGCAGGACCCCCCCTTGAAAACGAGTCTTGAGACTCATTAAGGCTTTCCTGGGTAAACAGATACATCGATTATAGAGAATCATGAGCAATATGAATGCACACTAATTTACAAAAGGAAATGGCTAAACAAACATCCAAAAGGAGCAGAACTATCCTGAAAACGAGGCTTGAGACTCAGTGATGGTCTCTCCTGTGAGTAGAAGCACTAAAGCGAGACAATGCAACGAAGCCGATACAAACAACAATTAATCTCTCAAATTGTGTCGTTTAACACAGCGTTGTGTGGTTTATCAACACAAAAACAAACTGAACACTCTGGCCTTAAAATAAAATAAATATATAAGCTGCATATATTTCCTTGTAAGCCACTGTAATTGACAAAAGTCTTGAGGGTTTTTTTAATGCATTAATCTATCGGTAATAATATAGGGTAAGGGGCCGTCCATAAGTTACGTCACGCAACTAGGGGGGGGGGGGTCAGACATTTGTGACGATGTGTGACGAGGGGGGGGGGGGTTTGAGAAATGTGACGTCACATCAAAATGCGAAACTTTAAATAAATATAGACAAGACGTTCTACTTAATGAAATAGACTTTGTAATACATGTTTTCTCCCACAACATCAGAGTGCAGCGCCACATTAAATACGCACTACAATGACAATAGTTTAAAGCGATTTGAAGCATGCTTTTTTCTGGGGGGGGGGGGGGCAGAGCTTTGTGACGTCATATTTGAGGGGGGGGGGTCTGACTTTTTGTGACGCCGTGTGACGAGGAGAGGGGGGTAAAAAATCGTCCAAAATCACGTAACGTCATTTATGGACGGCCCCTAAGCATGGAACGTTGGAGCAACATTCATTGGCCCATGCAACAACGTAGAGCCAACGTTGGACCAACTTCAACTAAGGGGGGAATTTCCGTGGGGGTGGTGGGGGGTGCTGGTGGAGGTTGGGGGGTGATGGTGGGGGGTGGTGGCCCGTACTTTTCGGTGAAATAATTTCAAAATAATCTATGACATCACGTTAAATCACTCCTCCTTTAGATTGTGTTGCTGCTATAAATGTCCAAATAAGCAACTTCGTTGAGCTATCATTTGTGATAGGCAGGTCGCTTCTGAAAAAGAGCTATGTTTTATATTTTTATCATTTTATTGTTTCCCTTCTACGTGACTTTACCGAAAGAACCAAGAATATAAAAATAAAGCGCTTTATAGCTCATCGGATTCCTCCCGTGGTATAAATATTATCAAATAAATATAAAATAAATATTATCAAACAAATATCAAATAAATATCAAACAAATATCAAATAAATATTATCAAACAAATATTGTCACATAAATATTAAATAAGTATTATCAAATAAATATTAAATAAATAGTATCAAAAAAATATTAAATAAATATGATCAAACAAATATCAAATAAATATTATAAAATCCATATTATCACGTAAATATAAAATAACTTTTATCAAACAAATATCAAATAAATATTATAAAATCCATATTATCACATAAATATCACATAAATATTATCAAAACAAACATCAATTAAATATTATCAAATCAATATTATCACATATATAAAATAAGTATTATCAAATAAATATAAAATAAATATAATCGTCAAAATTCTGATTCCCCCCCCCTGCCCCAGCTGGGCTGGCCGTGACGTCACCATTAGGTGACGTCACGGTTGTTGATTCCACGCGGCGGCAGCTGACGACCCCGCCACAGTCGCGACACGGAAGACGCGGTAGCAGCTTCGCAACAATCACTCCTCCTCCTCATTCTTCATCTTCTTCTTCATCGTCTTCTTCATCTTCTTCTTCATCGTCGTCTGTGCTACTGGACACGTTGACCACCGAGTAAGCACATTCGTTACGCGCTACGTGTGCGTGCGTGATGTATTTTTTTTTGTAAAGTAAAATCGTCGATAGTTTCGCTCGCGGGCCTCGCGTTATACTTTGTGTCACGAGCGGGCAAAAAGAAAACCAAAAGAAAACACATCCGCGTTTTTAATGTCGAGCCAAGTTACTAAAGCCGTACACTTTTCCGCTGCGTTACTAGCCTTAGTGTATTTTATATACACACACACAGTAATGTTAATGTGTCGTTCTAAAGCTGTTGGACTGCACCGTCGGCTCGCCGTTAAAGCTTCTGTCATTAATTTCCCTCACCCCTCGTCCCGCCGCGCGGAACGCCACTAAACGTAACAATTTCGCCTTGAACCTCGCCAGCTGACGACTTGGCTATCGTACACACACACACACGATGTGGTGTGGAAGCGTTAAAAGCGTGGGGCAGCAGAGAGAGGCAAAGGCTGTAAGGAAAAGCCTGTATCCAGCAGTGGATCGATCGTGGAACGCGTTGGTCAATGGACAAGTCGGAAGACGTTGTGGTTAGAAGAGACGATGGCGGTGTGGGGATGATCGAGACTCAACATCGGAGTGGCAGTCAAAGGAAGGGGGAAGTCATCGAAGCGGTGGCGCAGTGGTTAGCGCGTTATGCTGCAAATGCCCCGGCGACCAGGGTTCGATTCCCGGTCACGGCTAACATCAGTGGCGAGTTATATTTGAACCGAGCCTACCCCCCCCCCTTCCTCCTTCGCCTCACTAACCAGAACCACCGTGGTGAAGTATGGCCAAAACGTCTAACGTGACCGACTTGCGAGTAGGAGGGGCCCGTGATCCAGCAGTGGCTTGACAAACACAGGGCGTGATCCATCAACAAATGTGTCGAACAGTCTCCTGCGAGTAGATTCAGCTTGGAACCTTTGCAGTGTTACTATCAAGCAACGTCAGCGCTTTGTTGTTGTTAGGGCTGAAGTGACGCAAGCGCCTGAAGGCATTTAGCAAACCTACATCACAGACTTATTGACTCGTATTGGACACAGGCGAATTCATGCAATGCCCTTTGTTAGCCCAGGAAGACAATCTGAACGTCGGTGTTTTTCAGAAGGGTCCTGCTAGTTTTTCGGATGTTTTTTTGCAATTCCAGTACTTTAATCATTGCTTTCATTGCAATGAGGTAATGTGACATCCCCCCCCCCACCACCACAGCTGCAAGTGGCCGCTACATTGACACTGTAAGAAAACAATGTTTATGGGATTCACAAAGCCACCGTGAATCGCGACAATGTATCAAGTTACAGAGCCGGAGCGAATAATCGCATCTCAGACAAATTACTTCTCAATTGGTTATACAACCGCAAGAGGTTTTTTTTTTATTAAAGAGCCACACGTGGGGAATTCCCCATGCGTACTTTTTTTGAATTTGCCAAGATGCACCTGCTGTCATCTGACCCTTGAGCAGCGGGTGACGCAATTGGAAAGAATTGGGGGCAAGTTTGGGGCACGTCAAGGCATGTACCTCAAGTTCGAAAACTGGTCGCAACTTGAGAGATGTTTCAAATTATTCTTGACGGTGGATGATAAACGTGACGCCATCCTGCAAAAGTGTAAACATTGTCCAGGTCTCTCATACGATATGGGTAAATTAAAAAAAAAATTCTAATGTGTATATATATTAACCACACATAGCATTATGATTTGTGAATCTTAATACAGTACAGTACTTCGATTTTACCACTTACCCTCCAGATAAGGGATGCAGTTGAAATAATGGGGCAACTTTCTTAGATTCTCCAGCCTCTTGTCAACCCAGCAGTATATATTGATGCACTACAGTGGATCTGCAGGTCGTGTGTGGTGGGGTAACGTCTTGATGCTTCCACCGTTTCTGAGACGTCTGGCCAGTGGGGAAGAGTAGGCCAAAATTCCCTCTATAGCCCTTCTGCCAAGCAGTGGGCTGAGCAAATGCAGGGATGCACCTTTAATTCGTGTGTTTATTATTCAGATATAAATAGCAACACGTGCATTTCCGCAACACATTGAGCATGTAGTTCGCAGTGTAAACGTTACACACGTGGTTTATTGCGTGCTGTTGGCTCAACATCATCAGCTTCAAACTATTGAACAAAGGACCATGATCAGAATCTCATGCTGTGTTTTACTGGTGGCACTAGGAGCTGTTCTGCTGGAATGTGTTAAGCATGCTGTTTCAGGGATGATGTTAAAACGACCTTTACTTGAATTAGGTACTTGTACAGAAAAAATACCGGTTCCTATTCGTGTCTAGCTTAGTCAAATACTAGACAATTTGGCAATCCCTTAACTCTCCAATATAGATTCTCACTCGACTAGTCATTTAAAATCTTGACTCAAAGTGTCAGCAGGTTAAAACTACGTGGTGCTCCTGTCATTTCGTCTTGTTGACCCACTGTTTGATAATTCCACACTTTCTCGAGAGGACAACCAATGATGTCTTATCGCAAATCAGTACAGTACTCACTTTGTTATCTCTGAATGCATGATGATAATAATGGGCGGATTTGACTCTTGACTGGGATTTAAATCCACAACTTTCTCAATATGATGAAATAACGTCCCTCATTTCACCAGGAAAGCATTGCTGGGTCTCAAGACTCAGGAGGGTCATCCTACATATGAGATTTGTGGTTAATTCCATGAATGAGTCTTTAGAACGTGGGGGGGAGGGACTGGAAAATCCACCATGCGTACCAGAGAGTAACACTCCACATAGATAGTTTCATGAATCCATATCTGTACTGTAATATCCTGGCCACCTCCAAGTACATACGTACAGACTGTTGAACATGAAGAGTTGAATGGTACAGACATGGCTGTCTTTTGAAATGTATTGCCTTATTACATAAGTGCTTGTATGCTTTGTTGTGCTCAGTCCTTGGCCTTTTCCTTCGAACAGGATCGTTCATAGGACTACAAACCCCTGTGGCAGGCATAATGGATGAGCAGCACAGACTGAAACTTCGGCGCTTGAGAGTGACTTTGGTGAAAGATCTCGACCCCAAGGCACTGTATGACTACTTGGTGGCAAACGATATCTTCTCCGACGACATGATCGAAGAAATACATGTAAGGACATTCTTGATGCACAACACGGGTTGACATTGTCTCACCCCATCGTATATTTTGCAGACGGTTCCAACCGTTGATTATCCATTTGGAATGCCGTTTGCTGCTTTGCTGTACTTGTTTTAAGCGATGGGGTTGGCGGTGGTTGCGGCAGTGAGGCTGTACGTTATATCACTTTATTCATATTTACATGTTTACGTTAACTTTTATGTATATATATTTTTTTAAATCTTGATTCCAGGGTTTTTACACTTGATCCAGGTCTCTCTTGAAAAATAGACATGTAGTCTGAAAGGGGCTCTTTCCTGGTTTTATATGAAGGTAATTTATCTTATCGATTGTATCCAGTCAGCATGTTGATTTGATATATTGTCACAATTTATCAAGTCAAATTCCAATAATCATACTCTTGAAGAAACATGCAAACTTGTGAGTATTACCCCTCAGTGGTGCTGTCCCATTTTTGGTCTGTGGGTCTGTGCTCAGTAACCATAATGAGAAAAAAAATAAACCTCCCACAGCTGCCGGTTAAAACACTTCCCTTCCTGCATCTTCCCTTTCGCCACTACATTTTGGAATTCCCTCCCATTGTCTCTTTTCCCCAGTTTTTCCAACCCTGTTCAAGTCAAGAGAGACACTCACTCTTATCCATTACCCTTTCATCAATGGTGTTATTTGTCGCTGGGCGCTTGGAGGTTTGGGACTTTTTTGGGCCTGTGCTCGGATGGCGTGTTTGAGAGGAAAAAAAAAAAACAACGATTTCCACCTGCCGCGTGTGCTATCAGAATTCCGGCACTCGGCGGGAGCGCGCAAGCAAAATGCTGATGGAGCTGGAGAAGAGAGGCAGCCGCGCTCTGCCCATCTTCATTGAGGCCCTGGACGACAGCAAGCAGTCGCACCTCGCCGATATCATACGCGAAGAACTCGCCTCCGACAAAATCGACGCTCGCAGGCGCAGCTTGCCTATCTTGCCCATCGAGCCTCAGAATGTGCCGGGCGGTGCTCCGGATTTCTTTCCAGGTACGCACACACACATGACACGTGGCGGTTGTGCGTATGACGAAGAAATAAAATCCATAATACAGGTTTTTTTGTGGGTTAGATCGCGTAAATATGAATGTCGTTAAACCCGCCACTAGTTCAACATACAAACAAATCACTCTCTTATCCACCAAAAACACGGAAAAATATGTTCTTATCGCTTTCAAGAGTCTACGGCCGGGTGACTTATTTAATGAATAAATGCAAGTAGAATACATTTACTGCCACTGATAAGTGCAGAAATGGATGAATATGCCACAATCCGCATCACTGCTCTTACCTGTGAAAATATATGGATAATAGTGTAAAGGACGTGAACCCTGTTAAATAAATAATAAACAATATCACCCAGCGAGTCTAACGACTTTGAGGGTTGAAATAAGGTGCTCGCCTGCCCATTCACGAGCCGTCACATGGACCCCTTGTGTGTCGAGCACAGTCCGATTGGACGGTTCTGAAGCACTCGTCTTAGATTGGTGTAGGAATTGATTTGGGGATTGGCGTGGGACAGATGAGGTGGGAAGAAGAGTCGAGAATTCCAGGAAAACGGATAAAATTACTTGCGAGAAGAGCTTGGGGCACCTTTATGGAGTAGTTCCCTGAAGACTGCTCCTGACTACATGTTTGCAGAGCTTCTTTCAATGAAAATAAGCTATCTCTGGATAATAGGATATTTGCAGATCGATTGGTGCAGTTGATAATGAGTTGTGTGTTATGGGGCCACACGTAACAGGAGTTTAAACCGTATGTGCTTTTATGTATATATGTTGAACTTCCTTCACACTGTACATAGCCGGCCATGATAATGCTTTTGTCTAGGAATTGCAATTTGTCAAAGAATGAAAATTAAATATAATTTTAATTTTATTTACAAAGCATTGAGCATCTCATGACGCTGCTAAATCTTACCGAGTTGCCAAACATACTTGGGAATGTTTCGCCATTTCTCCCTCAATTGGATCTTGGTGATTTGAGAGGAATGTATTCTGTCGTGAGATACCCAACAGGTGCAAGATGGTAAACCCTTAGACTTTGCACAGACAGTTCATAAACCTATTTTCTGTACTGCATCCTGTCGATAAATCATTGCCCTCCAGGCAGGTGGCTCATAAGTCTGTTAAATAGAACTCCTCATGATCGACCAGTCTCATGCTCAGTGTTTTACATCGATTTAATAATATTACCTTAATGTATTATGTTGAACGTCTTGCGCACAGAATGTAGCCAACTCTGCTAATCGGAGGTGCATAATAATATCATTAAATTCGCTAACGTTTTCTTATTCTTGGTTCTTTCGGTAAAGTCACGTAGAACGGAAACAATAAAATAATAAAAATATAAAACTATTGGTTCCCTTCTACGTGACTTTACCGAAAGAACCAAGAATATGAATCCCTGCAGTCACGAAAGCTTTCAATCAAAATTTAACGTTTTATTGCTATATCCTGTAGGTAAATTGCATAGAGCTAAATTTATTGATGTTTTCTCAGCCAAGGCATTAACTATTATTTTAATCATACCCACTCACATTTCAACTTGTCCGTTCTTTCCAATAAAAGTTATCGAAAAGATAGGCGCTTTACGTTTTTAAAAAGCCAGAGTAGATTTATGTAATCAAAAATATGTTTACCCAATATGATCCATGACAAAGCATAATGAGTTTTTATACATGACTTTTTTGTGATGAAGAGGAATTGATCTTGTAGACAGGGCCCAATATTGCCAAAAACATCTGGCAACCCAACAGCATTTGCTTAACAAGCTTGGCTTCTGATGAGATCCTGAAGTTTTAAACTGCTCCAGTGTCTGCTTGTTTCAATAAATGCTGTTTTTTAAAAATAATATTTGTCTGAATAGCCAATACTTTTTATGTGGAAAGGTAAGGTGTATTTATTTAATATCCTTCAACAATAGAAGTGTATAATCTTTAACTTTTATCTTCAGTTAATGACTCATGCAGACGGTAATTCCTCAGAAGCACTGTCATTACATTCAAAGTCATGTCCTTGAACAGACAATATGACATCTCTGGAAAACATCCATGTCTAATTAATGTCTTGGAGCTAGAGATCATCTCAACTTTAAATTGTGAAGTTGTGAAACTTGCTTTAGTTTTAGACTTTGATCATTGTTGAAACACCTTTCAACTCAGGTTTTTTTGGATAATTTTTTTCTATCACATGGTGCCATTTCAGTAAAAAAAAAACCCTGTTTATTTCTTTGTTGTACACAGATGTAAAGCAGAAGGAAGGAGCAGCCGATCGAGATGAACACCGAGTGAGTCATTCTGATGTTTATCACGCCAAGAAAGGCAGCATTTAGTTGCCATTAACAGCTCACGTTGCTGTGTCTCCCTCTGAACAAAGATTGGTGTGTTACACATTAAAAGTACAGCCGCAGATGTCTCTTTTGTTTAGTCCACAGCTAAGCAGAATCAAGGCATGGCCAGAACTTGAATGGGGAGGCTTGTGGTGTTAGCCAGTTATAATCATCTATTTTCTATAATGATGCCATTTCCTTGGATTTTGTGCCTTTTCCTTAAATGCTGTATATGCTTTCTTTCTCTGTGTCCTTCATGAAATTCATACTTTCCTGACGTGCTCTCCAAAGGTCTACTCCCCCTCTTTCTTATCTTTTTGCAGACTGCTCCCAGTTATAAGCACACACCCCATCCAAGTCCACCTCTGAATCCCTGTCACCTTCGTTGTTATGCGTCGCTTTTCATGCTCGTAATTAAGCACATCTTTGTTTTTGTCTCTGCCCAGTTTATCCTTTTCGATTCAATTCGCCTTCAGCTTCAATTATTTCCGTGTTCTCTTTGGGGCCTGTCGACATCTCCAATTTGTATAAATTGCCAGCCTACAAACACACGTAGTGTTGTATTTTTGATGCATTTAGGGATTTGCATTATAGGGTACTTGAATGCCTCAGCAACTCGAAACACCTTGCATAACATTTCCTCTCAGCCATACAAATAGGGGGCAATATTTCTATGCGGCTTTTCCCAGTTAAGTAATTCGGAAATATGCACCACGATGCCGGCACACATGTCCTATTTTCAAATAACGGCACGGGATATTTAACATCGACTGTGAAGCACACAGCGCACATTTTATTGGTGAATACACCCACAGTATTAACCAGGGCGGCAGCTGGGCTCGAACCCCTGCAACAAGCGACGCATGCACTACCGCTCAGCCGTGGCACATTGCAAAACCTATGAAAAGACGCCGTACAGAGGAAATTAACACATCAAAACTCTGCTCAATTCAATCCTTCATTTGGGTGGCTCAGATGTGGGTGTGGGTGCTTGCTTCTTTGTGGACATAAGCAAATTGGGCACACATTGAGTAACAGTTCAATAAAGCGTAACAAACTGTGCATTGCTGACTGACGTGTGCAGGAATATCCAATGAAGGCGTCACCACGTGGAAAGTGTCTGATAATCAACAACATGGAGTTCATGAACTTAAAATCACGCTTAGGCTCGGATATTGACTGTGCAAAGATCATCGACATGTTCACGAACAATTTCCATTTCGACGTCATCGTAAAAGAGAACCTATCCAAGAAGGTGAGGCGGCTGTCGGCTGAATGAGCGACCATCACACGCGACAAACCAGGTGCAGACGTTCAGCTGACCCCCACGCTGCAGCACAAAAACGCGACACATTCGGCAATTGCACTGCCCCGAAGAGGAGACGTATAGAGTCGGTGGCGACATGGGCAATGGTCCTTCTTCATGGCAAAGAATCGGAGAGGCCGCAGAGATGTAGTGGACAAGAGTGGGGGACTGCATTGTACACTGGGCCCTAATTGGTGGTGGTGGTGTTAATGGTTTTAGCACATTGTACAAGTCGGGTGTACATACACAGCTCAAGTTTAGCATAATAAGATTTTAACTTAATAAGAACTTTGAAGTTGCATGCATTCACATACTTGGACGTTGTGTGTCTCCTAACAGATTGGAAGCTTTCTTCTAGGCAACAGTAATTTTATTCAAACTACTTGTCACCCCGGTTCACTGTTTAGCATGGCCATACAGTTTGTGTGTATTTATGATGTGGTGGCCATCCTACTCAATAGTTATTCTCGCCCACCGGTCATCAAGCGGCATGTCCTGTCCAAGGCCACTTTTCTTTCACAAACAAACCGAAGTCTTTTAACCAGTCTGTTTGCTAATCAGTGACGAGCTCTTGGGTTTTTACACGCATATCTAACCCGCTGCCTCTCTGATTCCAGGAAATGCTGGGCGCCCTCAAATCGCTCTCAGCTGATGACCACACGAAAGCAGACTGCTGCGTCGTCGTCATCATGTCGCACGGACGAGAGGTGCGGCCATCACGCGCGCGAATCGGTTTGCGAGCGTTAGTTGAGGACCTGAAGTTGACGGTGTAAGAACCTGTTCAGCAAAGCAGCCTGTTCAACAGGCAAAGTCTGGCAACCAGCCTCAAACTAAACACAGCGGCCGCGCGCATTTGTATGCATTTGTGTCACGCGTGTGTAGTCGCATTTCTTGTTCCAGGAGCGTACATTTCAAAGAATTCGATGGTTGGCAAAAGCTAATTAAATATTTAAAGTGAGAGTAAAGTGTATATGAACGTGTGCTTGCACATTACATGCTTGGTTATTGTTAAATAATGCGTGGTGGCGGGGAGGGGAGTGGTGGTGCAGTTGTTCACGCACCGCTAATGAGCTCAGCAGCACCAGCCCGTTTCTCAGGCGCAGCTGATATTCGTGCCATGTTGTATCTGGACCAGTCTTCCCTCCCCCCTCTCTAAGTTCACTAACTTGCACACTAACCAGTGTGGGTATAAATATGGTCTAACAACTCCCACAACAAATACTACCATGGAGAGTAGGGCTAAACGATTAACGGATTTCAAATCGAAATCGCAATTTGAAACTATGCGATGAGCAAATCGCAAAGGCTGTGATTTTTTTTGCGATTTGAAAAGTCCTTTTACATTCTTATTGGAATTGTTTTATTTTTTATTATTATAACTTTAGTTATTTCACTTAACAATTGTTCTATGTTTGATTGTTCTATTTCAATTAAAACAATTAAATAAATACATGTTGGAAACAATATCTTTTAAATTCTCATTCTTGTATTATAATATAAAGAGCAGTTCATATTTTCATGGCATCATGTGGTAATGCTCCATGACATGTTTTAAATATATTACACAGTGAATATTGAACTGAAGCTTGACTTAAAAAAATGTAATCTCAAATCAAATCGCATTGTCTTTCAGAAAAATCGCAATTAGATATTTTCCCCAAATCGTTCAGCCCTAATGGAGAGCTCCCTCCCCCGTCCATTACACGAACGGCTGTGGATTGACAAAGGGACGTAAATAATTAATAATTTCGAGCTGAACAGTCCACTGTTGATAACGATGTAATTTTCTGCCAAAACAAATGTTGCATAGAGAAATGCATATCGCTTTGTGTGAAGTCAGCATTGCTTGCTTTTTTGGTTAGCCTCGCCCTACTAACTACAGGAATGTGGATTTTCTCGCACTGGCTCACGGCTGAAAATGGGAAATGAGTTAACGCCCCAGACGCATTTTTGCAGCAAAATACTCCGAACGTTAAACACATCTCTGAGATAAATACACCTTACCGTGGGTCACACTTTTCTGATGAGCCGCTGTGAAATTGAAACCACTGCTAGGTTGCCTCGTTTTAATAATAAACAAATTATCGGGAAACATGAATCTGCAAAACATGCTCTCGTAAACCTGATATTATTTAATCAAGTAAACAATCTCCTTTGATTGTTTAATTAAGACTACTACTACAGCAATTCACTGATGCAGTACAACGTTGAATTTTTGTCCAATTATGCAATAACATGATAAACATTTAAGGGGTAATTTCATCGTGCACAAATTAGCATATGTTCGATGAGGCTAGGCCGAATCTGGACAAGTATTTGTCAGCAGCATTTGTGCAAGCAAGAACGCTCTTGTTAGACATTCCGCTGGGTTGCCGCAGGTTAATTGCAAACAGTGCGGGATGCTTTCGGTGCGGTGCAGCAAGATCATACGATCTATATTGTGCGCACGGTGAATTTTGTTCACACGCTGCAATGTCTGGATGTTTAGAATAGAATTATGTAGTCGTGAAAACTGTTTGGTGAAAGGGTTTTATTTTTTATTTACACTTTGCAATAAAATATAGACCAATCTAAAGTGCAGCATTACAATATAACGCAACGCGAATTCATATCTATGATCTAAATACATGGACCTCTTTCATTAGGATAATAACAATCAGAATGTGTGATTCATACATATGATGACGATGATGAGGATGCTGATGATGATGGTGGTGCTACTGTTGATGATAATAATGGTGACGGTGATGAGGATGCTGCTGGAGCCGTTGCTGATGTTGGTATTGCTGCTGATGCTGGTATTGCTGCTGCTGCTGCTGATTTTGATGATGCTGGTATTGCTGCTGCTGATGATGATTTTGATGATACTGGTATTTCTGCTGCTGATGATGATTTTGGTGATGCTGGTATTGCTGCTGCTGATGATGATTTTGATGATGCTGGTATTGCTGCTGCTGCTGATGATTTTGATGATGCTGGTATTGCTGCTGCTGATGATTTTGATGATTTTACCTCTACAGATAGAGCACCGACGGTTCCCGGGGGCCGTCTTCGGCACAGACGACTTGTTTGTGCGCATGGAGGATATTGTGTCTTTCTTCTCCGGGACTGACTGCCCCTCACTGCTGGGGAAACCGAAGTTGTTCTTCATCCAGGCTTGCGGAGGAGGTAAGCTGCTTGGATACTATCATACAGTTTATAAACATCGGCCATGATCAATTCACTGCTGGATGAAGGCCTCCAAAGCTGTGACGAAAGCATCTCCACCATCTCACGATCTTGCGATTTTTTTTCCATAATCCACCGAGCACGTGCACATGAGCAGGTGTCGCTGCTCCATCGCCACGGTGTATAAGACAGGTGTGCTGTAGGCTGCTGCTACGGGTCTACGTTGTCGGCAGAATAGCAGTGTGGCGAGATCTATTGTTCTGCAGTACACCAACCCATACTGACCAGCGTGGTGAAGTATGGTTGAATAAACCCCATGACCCACAAAAGTGGTGGGAGGGGCTCATTGAATTTGAAATTAACAAAAATGGCTAGACATGCAATTTCTACGCGAACGTGTTATACTGATAGAAAATTGAAAAAAAGAGAAACATTGTAATAAAAATGAGACAAAGTAATCTAATTTTTAATTTAATTGTGACCTCAAAACCCTGACGATTCATTGAATCACATGGGAGGCAGTGGTGGTGGCGGGGGTGCAGCTAAAACTTTAAACTAAACTTTTTATTTTACCAGGTAAGGCCCACTGAGCTGTATAGCTTTTTTAAATAAGTGACCTGGCCACAAATGATAGTTCAACGAAGTGGCTTATGTGGACATTTATAGCAGCCAAATACTCTAAACTCACCTTTCTAAATGTGGAGGGAATAACTAGAGGGCCCAATGAAAAATTAACGCGACCACGGGGAGAACACGCAAACTCCAAATATACAAGCGTCAGGGTCGGGATCGAACCCACGGCCTCCTGCGTACCACGAGAGGGAGTTAACACCTCCTAGCCACCGTATAGGTGCATATTAATTAACAACGCGTTCGTTGCTCTCATTCCCCTCTGCAGACGAGAAAGACCGGGGGGCTCAGGTCGCGCAGGAGAGCGACAGCGGCGGTGGCGGCGACGACGACAGTGGGGATCACGTGAACGGCGACGCGCCGTCGTCTGCCAACGCCATGCCGTCGGAGCTGCCCGAGCCGGACGACGAGCCGGACGCGTCGCCCGTGTACTCGGAGCAGGCGCGCAACCAGAGCCAGGATGAGACGGACGCCACCCCGCACCTGCCGTCCATGAGCGACATGCTCGTCGCTTACTCCTCCCTACCAGGTGCTTGGCACGGACGGCGTGCGGCCTTCGGCCTTCGGCCTTCGGCCTTCTTTCTGCCTGCCGCGCGAGAAGCCGCCGTGGTTGCGGGCGGCGTCGGCGCCGTCATTAGGGGCACGATCAGTCCACTACTGGATGATGGCCCGTCCTCAAGCTGTCTCCGCGTGCCACATACTGTGTTGGTGCATATATCGGGGATGAGTTTCGGATTCGGATTTTCAGATTTCGGATTTTCAAAGGATGATTTTTGGATCTTGTTACAGATCCTTCGCATTGTTACATTTTAATGTGTCCCCTGTGCTGGCAAAACAGTGATGTCACTAGATGCCAAATGACAAAACTTTTGTCAGTAAATCCGTGTAAGTGACGTTATTTCTTTTGGTGTCATACTTTTGGATCATTCTGAACTAATAAAATATTTGCATCTTCTGTAGGCCACTTTTTTTTTTTAGATGTATTGGATCATTCCGAAAATTGAGAAGACATCCCAATTACACATGGATTCATCACCCAGCTGTGGCAATTGGAGACGGGATCCCCTTTTTGCAAACCCATGATAGAGCCAATTGAGAAATCTGTCATGGTCTTGCGATTTAACAATCCACCTGGCATATGCACACCAGCTGATTTCTTTGCTCCATCTCCACGGTGGACGTGCTCTTGGCATGTTCCTTCCCTTGCAAATGTCTAAGGCTGTGTGTGTCAATCCACTGTTGGATGAGGGCCTTGACACTGCAGGTCATGGGTGTAATATAACCATTGGATGGTGTGGGGAGGCCTTCATCCAGCAGTGGATAAACAATGGCTGATGATGACCATGAATCTGGTGTGGAAGATATTTGAAGTATATTCGTTACTGCTAGTTATTTAAGAAGTAGTGCTTTAAATGTGATCATTATTACCATCTGGGTCAAACTTAACATAATCCTAACCCAAGAGACCTGAATTGTCTCATTTGCAAGAGCGAGCTGGATCGCCAAAAGTATACACACAGCGGAGACTTTTGCTAACCCGTACCGTCAATGTATTGCAGGGTTTGTGTCGTGGAGGGACTGCAAGCAGGGATCCTGGTTCATCCAGGTGATGCTGGAGGTGTTTAAGAAGCACGCAGTCAACGAAGACCTCATTTCCATGATCACACTGGTAAGGCTACCACAATAAGTTAATTTGCTCAGCATTATTTTAAACGCTGTCTGTCCAGCAGTATATATGAATATACCGCGGTTAGTCGATTGGCAGGTCACGTGTGGCGACCAGTGTGGAAGAGTAGGCTAAAATGCGTGGGGCTAGTGGAGGCCTTTCAGCCAGCAGTGTCGTGAGAAATAAATTTCATGGCTGCACCTTTACCGCCTTGACATTTACGATGGGTTGCTGTACCAACCATGGTGGCCGCATGCTTGCAATCCAGAATTCCCAAACCCATTGGGCTGAGCAATGGATAAGAGATGGTAGTACAGCAAATTCGGTTGCTGGACCTATCTGCAGTGTGTGTGATGGGTTTTCTCAGGGTATTCAAAGGTCTTCCCACATGCAAAATACTCAAGAAGGAAATTGTGGCCAATCATTAAAATGAAAAACCATTCACAGTACTAGAACAAAAAAAGACGTTGAGAATTGGTGAGGCGATAATTCACACTAACCATGTTGTCAGCTGTGACGAACGAGGTACACCATTACACGATAGCACGTAACTCGCACGGACAAACTGAAATGGCAGGAAGACATCCACTAGAAACTGGTGTATGATATCGGTCTACGATATATCGTGTAACCAAACGGACCTCACCGTTAAACGTGCAAATTTGAGCCGACGATGGCATATGGTTGGAATCATTTGGGCTAATCTTGGCCAAAGGTTGGCCCAATGTCATAAAGATTTATCGGGGTGCACCTCCCATGATGACGTCTGTCTTTGAGGAACCGTCTTATCGAGCGGAAGCACGTCATCGCGTCTTGTTTGCTTGTTCATTTCAGGTGAATGAAAAGCTGTCTAATGAGTACCAGGCCAAGGGTGTCTTCAAGCAGACTTCCAGTCCACTCAACACCCTCCGCAAACGCCTCTACTTCAACCCAACCTTCTGATCGTGGTGCAGGAACTTTGCACGGTTTTCCATTTACATGTACCTAAAACGATGTCCAAATAAGGATGACGAAAAATGTAGCGCGTTCGAATTTTACGTAACATATTTCACAACCAGTTTATTCGTGTTGTGTTCGATTTGTCTGCATTTTTGGGTTGTGGAGGGAGACTGTGTGAAAAATAATTTCTATTCCGTTGACAAAACAGTATTTGGAATACACGCGCAGCAACAGCAGCACAATCTCAGTGATCTATTTAACTTTTTTTTTTATAAGGGTGTGGGACCAACTTGAATGAAGTGCACTGTGGCACACAGTACCCTAACCAATACAACACCTGTACACACATTGAGTCAATCTACTGCTGGATGGCGGCCTTCCCATGCTATGCGGGTTGTTGGGGTTAATTCACCATACCTCAGGCTGATGAAGACGAGGAGTATGCAAATACAATCCAACACTCCTTTTTGCTACGCTGCCCTCTGGCGGTTATTCAGCTCCGCAGCAGCCTATAACACCTTGAATGCAAGGTGGTTGCCCATGCAAATCCTATCCAGTATCAAATCTGTTTAGTTCCTGAGATCTGACGAGATTGGGCACATTTTGGGCGATTTGGTCTTGGGTGGTACGATATATAATTCATATATAATTCAGAACAGTTTACAATTCTAGCTTTAAGGCTTGGACAGAATACCAGAAAGACACCATAACCATATTCTAAAGCAAAGGGAAAAATATTAGCTCTATCGCAGTGACAAAAAACATAAATTAGCAGTGAGTTGCTCTAAAAACTTGCACTCGGGCTTACAATTCGATTTAGGCGGTGGGTTTAATTTAACAGAGTTGTGTCTCGATTTAAAGCTTTCGTGACTGCAAGGATTCATCTTCTTGGTTCTTTCGGTAAAGTCACGTAGAATGAGAATAAAATAAAATAAGACGAAATTTTCACGACGTTTCGGCCACAACACAAGTAGCCTTCTTCAGGTGAAAGAACAGAGCTGTCGATATGACAGTGCTTCAATTGAAGGCTACTTGTGGCCGAAACGTCGTGAAAATTTTTATTGTCTTATTTTATTGTTTTATTTTATTATTTTATTCTCATTCTACGTGACTTTACCGAAAGAACCAAGAAGAGTTGTCTTCCAATGTGTTGGATACTGATGAAGTGGGGACTTTTGCTTTTGGCCGGGTGGATAGTAAAACAAAATCTGAGAGCTTCAGGTCTCTGGATGAAGTGTTTTGTGTTTAGCATTCCACGAAATGCCTATGCATCTGTTAAACGAATAAATATATTCTTGCCGAAGTAGTTCGATATTTAACATTGGTTTAAAGATAACTTTGTTTTAACTTTATTGTGTGCTTGTTAGAATGAGTCTATTTTTTGTATTTTATTTACTTCGAGCTTAGCAGGAACAATTGCGTTTTAGGATGCATTTTTAAACATTCGTCAAGCTGTTTGTACAAAATTAACTTAATTTCTTTTTGTAAGTATGCTTTTTTTTTTAGTTCACAACCAATGCTTACGTAATGGAACTATAAGTTTAAACTATACTTTGATTGTAGCACGGTTTGGTGCTATGCGGCTTAGCATGTTACTGGAGTACTGTTTAAAAGGTCGTTTTGACTGCCTCCACGCATCGTTGGGGGTTTTTTGTGTGTGGTAAACCTTGACTGTTTTTCCTGTTCCGCTGGACCCCTGGAGTTGGACTTCTTACAGGGGTTTCCCTTTGCCTGATCACGCCAGTAATGTCTCAACTCCAATCCTCGCAAACCACGCTGGACCACTTTTTCGTGGTCACCACCCGCCTTCCGCAACCACTTGCAAATCAAGTGTTCACGCATTGTGTGCAAACGATGATCGGCTAAAACTGTTCACGTGGGCTGGGGTACGGCGAGCGGAATGGAGTTCGAACAAGCTTTCCATCGTTCCCTTTAACGTGCCGCAAAATTATTGCGTGGTTACGGGGGCAGAGTCGATGCATGTGTGCATGTTTGGATATTAGCACCTCGTGCCAGGTTCAGTTCGTTGCAGAAATTATTGGCGATGTGAAACTGAGCGGGACACAAATTGTAAAGGTGTTTTTGTAAGATAACTTTAAGAAAGTAAATTCGTGTTGTGTCACTGGTTGTAATTTTGGCCATGCATGAAACAAACTTGCATTGCGCTGAGCCATTCTTTTTAACCACTTGGACAAGCACCACCTGACTTAGCGCACTTGGGGGCAGGAGAGCTTTCCCATACCTTCCGATGTACGATTTATACGTTTAGTGCACCGATGTGTTTTTCTGTTCTATAGCCTCGTATTTTGTTATCCTCTTGTGAACGTTCATGCTGTGATAAGTGCCTGTGCAACTGAGTAAGGGAGCCATGCTTAATTTGTTTACATTTTTTTTGTTCCTGATTAATGAGAGGGCGTGCGTTTCGGTGATTATATATGCACTGTTCAGCTGCAGCCTTATTGAAATTAAATGCGGACAATCATTCTTGTTCGGTTCGCTGCTCTTGATGTGAAATGTTCCTTACTGCTTTTGTATTGTTGTTTAATAAACATTTCAAATAATAACGCGTGCTTTATTTTTCCTTGCCAATACCATTTTTGCCCCCCCCCCCAAAAAAACCCCTCAAGTATTGAGACTCGTCTTCACGGGGATCCTGCAATTGGGAAAGTGACCAATACCTTTCGGCGTTTGGCTCTGTGTGGGAGGATACCGGAGAGACACCCACACGTGTGAAAGGGCTGCACTCAACACTGCCATCAATTGACAACACGTCTCAGCCCCACGACCGCAACACCTTGCAAACTCTGGTGGTACATCATCCAAGCACTGACCAGGCACCAACCTGCTTGGCATCTGAGATTTGGGCAGATTTGTCACATATAGGGAAGTTTAGTCACAGAGAGTACAACCGCTATAACAATTACAAGGCTCTATCATTGGTGGGTGGTGTTGAAACGGTTTTAAAATTTTTACAGGGGTCTTGAGTTAAAATGTCAGTTGGAGGTCAACAAAGTCCATATTAACCGTCAGGTACTGCCGTCGGTCAACCCACTGCTGTAAGAGAGCTTCCCTACACTGCATTGTGGGGGTTATTTGACCATATTTCACGTTGGCTAGTGCAGGCTGGTCAATGTAAGGTGGGGAGCGAAGATGTAGGCGCATAGAATGAATATCTGTGCAGCCATCGGCCGTCCAAAACAAAAGTCCCACAACATATAACAAACACCCTGTTATATACCACGTACCTTTGGGATGGATTAAATGGGCACGTCTATGAGAAATCAGTAGTGGATGTCCTCTGGAGAAGACTGGAAACCCTCCCCCTCCCCCCCCATGTGAATATGGAATACCCTCTCGTGTCTTAAGACTCCCCCCCCCCCCTAATCTCTGTGGAGATGGGCACTGCCCGGTGCTTGGCAGAGCGCTGCGAAACTTATTGAGTTGCAATGAATCAGACCGACGTCACCGTTGCTTGTTCTACGTAATTTTATTGCAATACCTGAGGCAACCAATTAAGGTTGGGGCTTCTACAAATCTAAAACCCTCTGGGACCGAGGCTCCACCCCATCACTTTACACGGCCACCACTGTAGGCTGGGAATCTGCAACAACAACAATAACAACAACAGACGTCACTTCATCGACTGTGGCATCAACATTGAATTACAGATAAGTGGCGTAGCGGGGGGTCGGCACAGGCTCTGGTGCGAGAATGTGAAATGGGCTCCCCTGTCCGATTTCCCTCTGTTCGTGGCCCAGCGCTTGGAAGCACCCCCCTCCAGCCCTTGGGCAAATTGCATCTCACAATGCCGAGGAACTGCAGACAAGCCAGGCGGGTGAGCCGGCGTCAACGATTGTCTAATCTCTGCAGTGGCTCTAGGTTGTTTTCAGACAATTAAGTGTTCGTGCGTATAGGAGGAAATGGGATGCACCCAGAGAAACTCCACGCGTGCGAGAGGGCAACACACTATCCCATAGAGAAGGGACAGATGGGTTTTATTCCGCACTCTGCTGTACCGCCTTCTGGCAATCCAGGGTATTATTATGGCACATCGACGTTCGAGGGAAGGGAACTTCACCATATTTGTGCGATCCAACAACCCTCGTCTCCACAGCGCTGGATTAGAGACGCGCATAGCCACCGCCACCACCACTGGGCCGGTAGTTTTGTAGTAGTCGTGTATGGAGACGGAGTCGTAGTAGGAAGCAACACCTTTTATTTATATATTTAACAACACTCACGAGGACTTAACATGAAGGGGTAATGGCCCCTTCCACCCACAACCTGTGGAGGTACAGCCTCCGGGCAATCTATCCTAGCCACTGACCTACTCCTATAGCCCTCCGGCTGGCTGGAGCTAAGGAGGCTGACCCACCGCTGGCACCGGTGGGTCTCTGACCACTGGCCCGTCCAGACCCGGCCCTTAGAAGGACGTCGGGCTGAGGGAACCTCAGGGTCCTAGCCTCTCGACCTCTGACACCGCACTGAGCCCCGGCCCTTAGAAGGACGTCGGGGTTTGGGGTCCAGGGTCTTGTCTCCAGGTGACTCCTCGACTTCAGCTTTAGGCGAACTGAGCTCTGCTCTCAGGAGCCCGCCTTTTATACGATTCCCCACTGAGGGGCGGGGTTTTGAGGGATCACAGATCCCCCACAGCCCCCTCCCCTCAGGAGGGATTCTGGCCACAGGTAGTCCAACCGATCTGTGTTTGTTTATCCCGCTTTCTGCCTAAGGGCAGGGTTCTGGGGGATCACACACACACACTCCACAGCCTCCACCCCTCAGGTGGGACCTTGGTCAGGGTTATCAATGACCCCGCTCTGGTAGGTACTGTGTAGCATGTGTGTGTTTACTAGTGACCACCACATCACCCCCCCTGTATAGCCCGCAGCCGTCCCGGCTGCCATGACAACAATCCTCAATTTTCAACAGTAAAAAAAAACTGAACATTAACTCGTGTGCCTCCGTAACAACAACAACAACGACACAGTAGCAACCCCAATAATTTACCCCAACCCACCTGTACAAATACACACTATGAACAATATACACAAGAACCGAACCCGTCCACATGCATGTCCGACCCCCCTTGCGCCCTGAATCCCACCCGTCGACGAACGCACCGGCGGACCGAAGAAGGGACAAGGTGCGTCATTGACCGACGCATCCACAGGAGGAGGAGGCGGACAGTGTGAGTAAGTGGCGACAGGGCCCTAAGAGAACCGGGGAAGTTTGGAGCGAATCCTCATAGCGGGACCATCATAAGGGTCAGGAGTCCCCGGTGGGGGGCTGGGAGGGGCCGGACGATGGACTTCCGGTTTTTCAGCAGAGGCGGATGCCTGGCGCTCGTGGGTCACCGCCCTGTCGGACGGCCGGTGGGGCAGCACGGCGATCCATCGGCGTGAGCACCGTCAGTGAACTCACTTCTGTGGCAACCGGTGGGGTGGCAAAACGACATGGTGCATAGCAAGGGTCAGGAGAACCAACCCCCAGCTCATCGGACACACCACGCGCACGGCCCTTGCGAGATGAACGTGAGGTGGCAGTGAGTGGCGTGATGTAGGGTTTCAGGCGTGACGGGTGAACAAACCATGAGCGCCGCCCGCACGCAACCCGAACGCACTGGTCCCGAACCACCCGAACAATGTCCACCGGACCCCGCCAGGGTTTGAGCAATTTAGACCTCGTCAAGGGTACTTGGGGGCAGTGTAACCATGCCTTGTCCCTCACAGGCCATGTGTGTGTGGATAAGCGGCGGTTGTGCAGACGTTCATTCGCCCGTTGCCTCGCCCTGGAGTTTTCCCTTGCGACTTCCCGCGCCTCGACCAACTTCTGTATGTTGAACCGAATGTGGTCGGACAGTTTCGACCGCGACGCGGCTGGTTTGACCTGCAGTTGCACGTCCATGGGGGGGGTCAACATCCCTACCGTACATCAAGTAGAAGGGTGAATAACCCGTGGCTGCGTGAGGTGCCAACCGGTACGCGGCCAGAACCCCGGGCATGCGGAGGTCCCAGTCAAGCTGCGCCTCATCCACTTGATGGCACAACATAGAGGTGATCGTCCGGTGCAGACGCTCGACCATACCATCGGTCTGCGGGTGGTAGGGGGAAGTGCACACCTTCTGGGTACCTAACAGGTTGCAGACCTCTCGCAGAAGGACAGATGAAAAGTTATTTCCCTGGTAGGTCAACAGCCGTTCCGGGTCGCCCTTATCCAGGACATAGCCCTGGAGAAAGGCCTCCGCAATGGCCGCCACCGACTGTTTTGGGAGGGGCCAGGCCATGGGCCAGCGGGTGAAATACTCGACCCCAACCAGTAGGTACTTATTACCCCGGGCAGTGACCAGAAAAGGTCCGAGAATGTCCAGCGCCACCAGTTCGGTGACGCAGGACACTTGAATTGACTGAAGCGGTGGGCAGGCTAGCGCAGCTGGGCGCTTCCGCCGTGCACACTGTGTGCAGCTTTTTAGCAAGTCAGCGACATCGTAGGCCATTCCTGGCCAAAATAAATCCAATTTCAGAGTGTCGAGCGTCTTATGAATACCCAAATGTAAGAGCCGTTCGTGTGCGGCCCACACGGCACTCCCCCGCAGAGCGGTAGGAACAACAACCCTGTAACGGCGAGAGCTGGCGTCCCAACACTTTCCCGGCCATTTGAGGTACTTGTACATTCAGCACGGTGGCGAAGTCTGAGGAGGGAGACATCCTCCATCTGGAGACGTCCCCATTCGTCAAGAGGCAGCTCAAGCAATGAGTCACGGCCGACCGAATCGTGCTGGCCCTCGGAAGAAATGTCCTCCGGCCTGATATCCTCTGCTGCTGCAGCCAGGGGAGAGGTAGGCACAGCTACAACGGCCAATTTGCACCTCCCAGAGCCCATAAAACAAGCATATTCTTCCCCCGGGGAAAGGCGACAGACCATCAGCGTTGGAATGCCGAGTACCCTTACGGTAGATCACCGTGAATGCGTAGTCCTGTAGGACCTCCAGCCACCGTGACAACTGGCCGGATGGCTGGTTGGAACGAACGGTAAAGTGCCTACTGTACAGGTACGGCCGGTACTGTTGTACAAAGAAAACAATAGCTAGTAGTTCGCGGCGAGTAACGCAGTAGCGCTGCTCCGCCGGGGACAGCACCCTACTACCGTAGGTGACCACGCGCTCGACGCCGTTCACGACCTGCGAGAGCACCCCGCCAATGCCCAGTTTCCAGAATGAAAGGCAAGGTAAAGTTAGGGTAACACAAGGGAGGAGCGCTGACAAGGGCATCAAGAAGAGCCTTGAACGCCCTGTCCTCAACCTCCCCCCACTGAAACTTAGCACCTTTAGCCGTCAGCGCATGAAGGGGTTTGGCTATTGATGCGAAACCCTCGACGAACCGGCGGTAATAGGACGCGAACCCTATGAAGCTGCGGACCTCGCCCACAGACGTAGGTGTCGCCCATGTTCTGACGCAATCGTTTTTTTCAGGGTCGGTGGCAATGCCCGTACGGCTGACAATGTGTCCGAGGTACCGCACCGATTCACGCAATATAAAACATTTTTGGGGTTTAAATTTGAGGTTAGCAGCACGCATCTTGACAAACACAGCCTGCAACCTATCCAAGTGTTCCTCGAATGTACAACTGAAAACAATCACATCGTCAAGATAGATGAGACATGAGTCCCACTGGAGGACCAGCTCCATGAGTCTCTGGAACGTCGCTGGGGCCGAGTGCAAACCCATAGGCAACTGATTAAATTAAAAAAGACCTTGTGGCGTACGGAACGCGGTCTTAGGTTTGGACGTCTCGTCCAAGGGCAGTTGCCAAAATCCGGACAAAAGATCCAAGGTGGAAAAGTACCACGCCCCCGCCAAGGCATCTAGAGACTCGTCCATCCGAGGGAGTGGATATGCGTCTGCCAGTGAAATTTTAAGTTTCCGAAAGTCAACGCAAAACCGCAAACTGCCATCATGTTTTTTGACAAGTACAATTGGGGCCCCCCAGGGGCTGGTGGATGGAGAAATGATGTTCACGGCCAGCATGTCGTTGACGGCCAACCGGACATGTTCATTCTCAGCCGGGTTCAACCGAAACGGATTCTGCCGAATGGGAGCGGAATCGCCCGTATCAATGTGATAGTTCAGCAGGGTAGTGCGTCCGATATCGAATTTGTGTTTACTGAAAACATCGGAAAATTCACGGAACAACGCGCGTAATTGGGATTGCTGGGAATCGGAACGTTCGCCAGGCGCAGAACAAAGGGAATCCATCCAACCGTCATCGAGGTCAGAATGCGTGTTGGACCGAGGCACATCATCTACATGGCCCACAACAAAGTCACCGTGGAGCGCTAGTGATGCGTGAGCAATCACGGCCCCCTGGGGCACGACCCTCGTTCGCAACCCCGTATTCAACACCTGGATGAAAAGTTGGCTCGTACTAGGCACGAGTGTCTGTGAGCCCACCAGCTCCAATCCCTGTACCGCGGTGTTGGATGGAGCCAGCAAAATTCCATAAGCCCCCCCCGGTTCAAGTGGCTTACGCAGCCGAAGCGGAACAAGCATTTGTGCGCCCGGCGGAATCCGAACCGTCTGGGACACCATTGCCTGAACTGTCGCACAGGCCATGCGCGCAACCAGGTGAGCGAGGGCAGGAACGACATATGGCGGCCTGATGGAAGCTCAATACAGCCCTTGTCGATCATGATTTTAATGGGCATTTTACGGAGGAAATCAGTGCCCAACAAACATGAAACGGCAATGGTATTAGAAACCAAAATGGGACCCGTAAATTTAATATCGCCAATACAAATTTGGACATTAATTTGACCAATTATTCCCAGAGAACCCCCGTTCGCAGCGAAACAAGGAACAGCAACAGGGGTCAGTGATCGACACGTCTGGGGCAGCACATTGTAGATGAGGTCAGAAATAATGGTTGCCGATGCCCCCGTATTAACCAGTAACCGAAATTCAATCCCTGCAATGGCGCCGATGATAACGGAGGAACCCGTGGTCGCAGCGACGACCCCATGGGCCAACTCCGACCATTGACCCGGTTGGAGTGGCCGTTCAGGGTGTACGACATTCCGGTCCCGAACTCCCAACGTAACGCGATCGAACGACGTAACCGAGTGAGGGGTATGAGATGCGGGCAGGGGCCGAATGCGTGGTGCATCGCGACTCGCCTGTGGCCCCTGTGAAGCTGCAGACGGGTGGGTAGACGGTAGCGTGTGGCCCGGAGCGTGTCGTCGAGGAGCCGGACAGCCAGATGACAGATGTCCTTGTTGTCCGCAGTTGTAGCCCGTGACGCGGCCCCCGGTCCGCAGGGAAGCGTGTCTCCCCCGTCGTGACTCGCCCTGGCGAGCCCGGTCACCCGCCCTCCAGCTCGAGGTGTGATGTGATGCGAAGGCCTGGTAGTCCAGGGACTCTCCCACCGGAATGCCCGTGTGTGCAGCGCATGCCTCCACCGGCTTGTCACGTTGGAGGAGCAGTTCCGTGTGCAGATATCTTGCAGCGAGCAGGGAAGAGAGATCGTCTTCGTCCGTAATGTGAACTGCAATGTGCAGCTCACGAGCCAGCGTCAAAGGCTTCTCCAGTACTATGGCGTCGATGCCCTCGTCGTCCATGCGAGGGTAGGCAACCTTGGCCAGCGCCAGCAGCGCGCTTCGGAAGGTGAGAGGAGTCTCATCAGCCTCCTTCGTCTGGGTGAAGCGATGCCTGATCTCCGACAGGGGCCCGTACACCATAGCCATGTGGTGGAGGGCGTTCTGCGGTGTCGCACGCCGAGCCCTCGGGATGGTGAGAAAGGTGGCCAGCGCGTCGTCGACAAGAGCGGACGGGAGAGCCCGGAGTGCCACCTCCTCCGTCCACCCAGCCGTCTCACTGTTGGAGATGAAGTGCAGTGAAAAAGCCGCCCAGTCACCACCCTTTGGCTTGAAAACCTGCAGCGCCGGCAAGCGTTGTTGGAGCGCCGGCTCCCAACCCGTTGTTGACTCTTCTCCTGCAATGGCTGCGGCGTTCGTGGGAGCGCCGGACTTCGGCATGTCCTCCAAAAACAGTGTTCGCGTAGCTGGTGACGCGGCCGCGTCCAATTGGCGGGCGCTCCGGGTGGAAGTGACGTGTGGTTCCGGGAGCCCGTCCTCCGGGTGGAAGTGACGTCACCTCTGGATGCGCCAGCCCTGCTTCCGGCAGTAGTGACGTAACGCCGCGCGGAAAGGACATCGCCCCCGGCTGCTTGTTCAAAATTTTGCGCGGGAACTCCTGCGGCGATGGTGGGAACTCCTTCGGCGATGGCGGGATCGCCATTCGCCCGCTGGCCCGGCCCCGCAGCTTCCCCTCCTGGACCCGCCCGCGTTATTTCGTCAAGGATGGCAGCGGCGGCATGCAGGAGGTCGGCGAGGCGGGGGTGTGCCGACTGGAGCCTCCCTTCCGCTGGTGGCGAGTCCATTGGTGGCCGGGGAGGTCGTAGGTCTCCCGTGGAAGGACCATCCTCCGGCGGTGACATGGCTCCCTCTGGAGCTGTTTCTTCATCGGCCTCTTTATCCGAAGCCTTGGTGAGTGCGATCTGTCTGGTCTCCATGGCGGCGAAGTATTCGGCCACTTCTGTCGCCAGTTGTAGTAGTCGTGTATGGTTACGGAGTCGTAGTAGGAAGCAACACATTTTATTTATATCTCTAACAACACTCACTAGGACTTAACATGAAGGGGTAATGGCCCCTTCCACCCGCAACCTGTGGAGGTACAACCTCCAGGCTATCTATCCTAGCCACTGACCTACTCCTATAGCCCTCCGGCTGGCTGGAGCTAAGGAGGCTGACCCACCGCTGGCACCGGTGGGTCTCTGACCACTGGCCCGTCCAGACCCGGCCCTCAGAAGGACGTCGGGCTGAGGGAACCTCAGGGTCCTAGCCTCTCGACCTCTGGCACCGCACTGAGCCCCGGCCCTTAGAAGGACGTCGGGGCTTGGGGTCCAGGGTCTCGTCTCCAGGTGGCTCCTCGACTTCGGCTTGAGGCGAACTGAGCTCTGCTCTTAGGAGCCCGCCTTTTATATGATTCCCCACCGAGGGGCGGGGTTCTGAGGGATCACAGATCCCCCACAGCCCCCTCCCCTCAGGAGGGGTTCTGGCCACAGGTAGTCCAACCGATCTGTGCTTGTTTATCCCGCTTTCTGCCTAGGGGCAGGGTTCTGTGGGATCACACCCACACACTCCACAGACTCCACCCCTCAGGTGGAATCTTGGTCAGGGTTATCAATGACCCCGCTCTGGTAGGTACTGTGTGGCGTGTGTGTCTTTACAGAGTGACCACCACAGTTTTATTATAGCCTGCACACTCGATAGCTATGCCACTGATTGCAGAGCTTTCCACATAGTACAATGCCGGCTCTGGGGCCTATGTGACAAGGAAGCTGAACTTCTTTCACGCCGTACGTAGCCAACCGTGCTAATCGAAGGTGCGGGGGAAGGACAAGAAAATAAGCTGACTAAGTTGTGTCACTGTCATCCTGTGTGTACCCGTGGCGCATAAGGGAATTGTACATACAATAAAACATTCTCATCACGGGACAAACATATAATGGGACTTTTTTGTTGTTGCATGTGGTACACAAGTACAAGTACAACATCAATTAACTCATCGCATTCGTGTTAACCACTGCATTATAGCGGAAGCAAATAGAATAGGCTGCTGTTTTTGGGGGCATTGGTCACTCCTTCAGAGCACAGTGGTGGTGGTGGGGGGGGGGAAATACAAAAAATCAGAGAGTGATTTCAAAATTGGAGATCACAATGTCAATTGTGGTGCCCTGAGAAAACTCGGAAAGTTTAAGAGGTTGACATGGAGAGTTTTAAATTGACACAATTATGGTAGACGATACGTAGCAGAAAAAAATTAAACTTCAACAAATTATAAAATATATGCATAAACTCAAATCAACAGGGAAATCAAATGTAACAAGGACTCTATTATGGGAAAGCTAACGATGTTATTCAGTGACCGTTAAGTGCTTATTGGTATATTAAATGTTCTGTTCCTGGATTCAATCGTATTTTCTACAGTTCAATAACATTGGCTAGGGGTAAAGAGGCTTCCTTGAAAAGAAAAAAAAGACTTGTGATACTGCGTTGGCAGTGATGCACAAACACAAGTAAGAGGAATCATCTTTGCTACGAGCTATCGCCCAAAACGTCCCCTATTATATATTACGTTTTGTAGTAAGGGGCTGCATTGTTTGACGAATGTGTTGAGATTATTTTTTGTATTGCTCTCAGCTGGCTTAGCCCATCAAGAGTTAACTATTTATAATTTTATTTGACCAGGTAAGGCCCACTGAGCTACATAGCTCTTTTTCAGAAGCGACCTGACCACAAATGATAGCTCAACGACGAAGTGTCTTGTCACGTGGACATTTATGTCAGCCGAAGACTCTAAACGAGTGACATTGATTCGAAAATGTGGAGCGAAAAACCGGAGGACCCGGAGACAATTCCATGCGACCACGAGGAGAACACGCAAACTTCAAATATACAGGCGTCAGGGTCGGGATGGAACACATGCCCCTTCTGTATACCAGGCGAGTTAGTTACCATCTCGCCACCGCGGCACCTAAAGGTGGTTAAGGGCGACAGGCGCTACAGTTATCACTGTCCTATTGCAATGGCTGGGTTGTAGTCTGCTGAGATTGACACACCAATAGAGGCATCCCCCCCACCGCACATCCATTTCACGAACATTCAGGCACACAGCTCATCGCTGCCTACCAGCAGGAGCCGAGGTAGCACCGCAGCCTTCAGATCCACAGCACGGGGAGGCCCCGCCACCTGCACACAAGAGGCGGTGTATCACTCATTCGCTCGGTACACCGAAGGCAACTACGACGACAAATAGCTGCGATTTGCCACAGAGTGACGATGGTTTCACCGCAGCGCCTGTGCCAGGCTGAGTACATTTTGAGGACTGTGGACTTCTATAGGACAACCACTGTTGACTTTCCACTCAGTAGTCCCTATTTTATCTGCCCTCATGTTGACCACCAACGGAGGATGTGAACTCACGATATTCCGTGGCATGTGACCTCAAGTGGCTGTGCCACCCAGGCCAAATAAGGGTATTCATAATTATTTTAGAACAGAGGAGATGCCGCCTCTGTGCGCCCAGCAGTATAAACTCAGTCCCACCACAGCTGGTCCATCGGCAGTCTGTGTGTGTGGTGGGCTAAAGTGCGAGTTCTTGGCCATGCGTGGAAGAGTAGGCCAAATACCATGTAGAGGTGTCTCTCTCTCTCTCGAGCAAATGGCACAAGCGAGCTACTTCATCGCTGCAACTTGCTTTTTCACCCGTTACGTTTTAAACAACGCACGGGTAACGCGTGCAAGAAGACTCACAGCGAATTCCACGTACGAGCCAAACGCTTGAGCAGCCTTGTGCCTACCACAGTGGCGTAGTAACTAAATTATCAGCTAAGGGGGTGCGCGGCAATCGGTCGGGTGGGGCACCAATATTTGATTTGCCTCGCACGGTCGCACCTTGGCTATTAATGATCGTGTCTGCTCTTGCTTAATCACATCATCGTTACAGCTCACGGTCTCCAACATTTAACGCTTTAGGGGCGCTCCTCCTTAGCAAACTACAGCTCCGTGGTAACCTCTTTGCAATTTTTACGTCGCCGCTCTACTTAAATTCAAGTAAAACGTTGGAACGTAAATGAAATAATTTTCATATATATTTTTAAAATATATATATTTAACAGGCATTTTAAACAACGTTGTGTTCTTTTACACTGTTGTCGCAAACAGATCTCATGATGGTTGTCAAGGGCCGACCTCCCACACTCCAACTCGTAGCTTCGGAACACCGCGGACGGAAAGGGGGGTGGGGGGCAAGGGGGGGGCAAGGCACCCCCTGCCCCCCACGCTCGTGACGCCAACTGCGCTCACACGTTACAGCGGAGCATTACGCTGCAGAGGGGCACGCGCTCAGGTTCCCGGCCGCAAAGACAAAATCTCCACGCGCCGCGGGTGGAATCACCTCTCGTCAGTCGGTGCAGGGAATCTGCAGCGGCTTAATGCGTTTGAATTCTCAACTCGTATTCTTTGGGGTCTTCCGGTGAAGTCACGTGGATAGGTTCGAAGAAAAGAACAGAAAAAAACCAAACCTGTCGTACGTGATTAGACCTCCTTTGCCAGTACCAAAATGTAATAGTAGGGTTTTTTCCCCTTTTTTCTGGCAACAAAACTGAAACCGTTTAGCAAGGATTCATGTCTGCATTAACCACAATACCTGCAGTCAAAATGCAAACAAAAAAACATACTATGATAATATGGTGTGGACCAATAAGTTTCAAGGACAATGAATATATTATCATAGTATGTTTTTTGTTCAGCATTTTGACTGCAGGTATTGTGGTTAATGCAGACATGAATCCTTGTAAAAAAAGGTTTCAGTTTTGTTGCCAGAAAAAAAGGGGAAAAACCCTATTATTACTGTCTACGTGACTTTACCGAAAGACCCCCAAAGAATGTGAATTCCTGCAGTCACGAACGCTTTAAGTCAAGATTTAATTCCCAACTCGTTGCCCACAAGAGTACAGGCTATATAGGAGGCGTCGGAGCGCATGTGTTACAAGTACATGTGTTACAAGTACATGTGTTACATGTACATGTAACACAAGTACATGTGTTACAAGTACATGTGTTACATGTACATGTAACACATGTACTTGTGTTACATGTACATGTGTTACACATGTACATGTGTTACATGTACATGTGTTACAAGTACATGTGTTACATGTACTTGTGTTACATGTACAGGCACGGCCCCCGTTTGTCAATACACCGCTGGACAACATCCTCCCTGACACCCGCCACCACCGCGCCGTGTGGAGTTTGTTAACCATACTTCACCACGCTGGTTTGTGTGGGGTGAAGTGCAGAATAACGATGGAATTTTTTTTTTGCCCGGTATTACCGCTCGCAGTCCCTACCTGGGGGGGTGGAGGCAGTGAGCCCAATGTTCTTCCCTTCGCTAAACCCAGGAGCACTGCGTTCGGGCTATTGTCCGTGGGATTTATGTAACACCCCCACATTCGCTTGTTACGGTCTGTGCTCTGTACCGGGCTCTTGTCAAATTAAATAAAAATGAGTAATAATAAGAACAACGACCACCACACTGCCCTCTGCTGACTATAGTGCCTGCAACACCTGTTGGATGTTCGTGGTGGTCGCCCATCTGAGCACTATCCAGGATAAAAAAACCCCGCTTAGCTTGCTAGATCGGACAGGATCAGGTGCACGCCAGGTGATTTGATCATGGCTCATACCTTAAATAAACAAACCAAAAACACACTGACATAACATACATTAGGGGTGTGAATCATTCACACAGCCTGTATTTAGAAAAGTATGTTATATAATTACCTAGAAAAATACTGCTTATATTGTGTGCATGTATGATACATACTGTCTGTATGTACATGTGTATATGATGCCGTGTGTATATGATGCCGTGTGTATGTATATTTTATACGAGGGGGTGGGTGGCCAGCACCACGCCCGGCCGCCTTTGTCCCCCCAGTGGCGATGTTCACACACCACACCAGTTACTCGTTTGAGGCTGAGTCGACCTAGGGGAGGCCCAGGATCGGTTAAAATAATCGTCACGGGTAGCGGCCATCGAACTCGGGTCACCGGGTTCGCAGTGCAGAGCGCTAACCACTACACTACAATGCGTTACGCTTCCACACACAAAGACAAAGATCCCCCATATAGCCTTAACAGACTGTAGGGGCAAGTGCTGTTAGCGAGCACCTATGAAGGCCGGTAACGGTACACGAGGGGGTGGGTGGCCAGCACCACGCCCGACCGCCTTTGTCTCCCTAGTGGCAATGTTTATACACTGTACCAGGTACTCATTTGAGGCTGAGTCGACCTAGGGGAGGCCCGGGACCAGTTAAGATAATCGTCACTGGTGTTGGCCGTGAGCGGGAATCGAACCCGTGTCGCCAGGTTCGTAGCGCAGCGCGCTAACCGCTACACTACCGCTCCCCACACACACAGACACACACACAGACACATACACAGCGCGCTAACCACTACACTACAATGCGTTACGCTTCCACATGTGCGGGTCACATGACAGATTTGACGTCACAGATCACTTACCGTGCAAAATATATATGCGTTATTGAGCTCCCCACCCAAAAAAGTGTATTTTTTTAGATTTGCATGGTGTACAGTCTGAAAAGTACCCACACGGCAGATTTCAAGTTTGTTGCATGTCGGGAAGAACGCTAAACATTTTGAACAGACACACATAATCACAACTTTGCCTTTTATATATATGGAAATTACACTGTGTGTATGCATGTACAATACTTATGTATAGACTCAATCTGTGTGTATCCTTACAGCAGTCTGAGGAACAGCTGCAGGGGCAAGGGCTGCTGCCATCACCTGGGGAAGAAATGTAAAGAATTACCCATCGCCTATTGTACAGCACAAGCAGAGCAACGTAGGAACACGTGACAAACCATGACTGCGTAAGTGTCGCTGACAACATTTTATTTGCTGTCTTTCCCTCGTGCCTCATCTTAGCGCGGTTGGCTACGTACGGTGCGAAAGAAGTTCAACATGCATACAAAGCTGCCACTCGATTGTCGAGTTCGCTACCTGATGACGCTCAAAGGAGTCTTGGAGCGAATTGGCGTCGTGTGTTGATGATGTTCAATTCAGTCATGAAAAGTCTTCATTCGCCGGTGAGAGCCGGAGTTTCATTGATGAGAATTTGAGCAATACATTGGCACGTATATATAGCATCTGTGTAAATGTGATAAAATCTTTGTTGGGTGGCGGTGGAGAGTTAATGACAAGAATTGTGGGATAAAACAACAACGTGGCCCAACCCGAAAACTTATATGAATCATGTTCAACTACTGAAAGTTCAACGTTATTCAGTTTTTGCGTTGACATTTACTTCAATCAGACTATCACGAAGGAACACGTGACTCTTCGTTCAAGAATGTGACCAATTAAAATAACCCTGCAAAAACTGCTTACCAATCAGAGGTTAAATTGATTTGTATTTTTCTTAGAGGGCAGTAGCAGCAATACGACTGGTTAACCTGCTGAACCGCCCATACTGCACAACTATGATGCTTCCTCCAGTCAAAATAAAGATTCTGATACTGAAAATCTGAGACCAAGAACAACTCCCTTGTCTTATTTCTCAATCAATGGAACTTCGACTTAATGAGGACTTTTCCCAAGTACATTCTTCCTGGTCACCATTGAGAACTCGGTTTAATCGATGGCGCCTGACACCCCGGATACAACCCCAGGTTATCTCAGTGGTGTCAGCTCAGCGCTCTGAACCCTGAGCCGCCCGGCCACCTGACAGAATCACAGCGTGAACGCTGTACATCGTCAGTAAGCAGACACGTACCACTGCACGGACTGCCGGTCCCTCCACAGCAACACCCTGTGCTTCCACCTGTGTCCGCAAACATGGAAGGTGACACGAACACACGATTAATGAATGAATGATAAATGCACAAAGCACTATCATCTCGATGTCGAAATCAGCTCAAGCCTCCCATAAATCGCATGACTTCTGCGTATGTTGAACTTCTTCGCACCGTGCGTAGCCAACTGTGCTAATCGGAGGTGCGGGGGATGGACAACAAAATAGAATACAAAAAGCAGTTCTAAAGAAATTTGTTTTCAATCTGAATACCTCCCCTCTACCCGCCCCCTTTGAAAACAGACGCCGCTGCGTTTATCAAACTTCAGTTTCTTCCTTCTCTCTTCCTCTCTTCCCTCCCCATCTCATCCCCAACATCTTGGCCCGGTCATTCCTTCTGCCTCCATCTCCCCCCATCTTCCTGCCCGGCGCGCCTTCCTTTCCCTATCCGTCTCATCTTGAGCCGTGCCCTCTTCGTGTCCGTCTTGGGGACTTCCGTCCCTGCATCTTTTCCTTTACCGGTCATCCTCTTCGGTCTTCCCCATCACCTTCATTTTTCTCTTTTTCACACATTACATTCTTGACTAGCCCCTCCCCCCCCCCCCCCCCCCCCCGTTCCTGTGGTGTGCCACGGGTAAATCGTTTTACAATTAGCAAAGAACCGAATTTTTCTGGGAACAAATAATTGCTAGCTCTCTGAGCTAGGCCGGTGTAAGCCATGCGGGCGATACTTCGTGCACAGCTCTTCCGTAAGTCCACCGCTCGATGAGGGCCTCCCCACACTGTGGGGGTTCATCGAAGTTATTTGACCATACTTCACCATGCTGGTCAACGCGGGTTGGTGAAGCTGGGGCGCGCGAGTGTGGGAGCGTAAAAGTAGTGCACGTTTGCCTTCCCCCCATCGTTGAGTTAGTTTCCCATCTACCCCAACTTGTAGGATTAATGTCAACGGAAAACAAATTTGTTGAATACTGAAAACGGAAAGAGAATTCGCATTTCACGTCGCATTGAAAATAGGTTTAGGCGGCTGTTGGGTTCCCAGTAAACACGGAACGTTGGGCCAACTTTTGTCCAATTTTGGGTGTCAGACGGCACAGTACTGAACACGTTTTGTCCACTCGTTACCACGAGAGCACAGGCTATGAGTGGTATATATTTTTTGACGTCAGAGCACAGATGTTACATGTACAGTCCGTTTGTCAATCCACTGCTAGATGACAGCCCCCCCCCACCCCCCCCCCAACGACCACACCACACATCTAAAACTTTGGTTCAACCACAAGCCAACAACCAGCGCCGTTGCTCAACGTTGCACCTTCTGCTGCGTTGTGCCCTGTGCGGGTGCGATCATTTAGATATTTTTTTTTCTGCTATAAATTTACACGCGATGAGCCGCTTTGTTGAGAGCTATCATTTGTGGCCAGGTCGCTTCTGAAAAATAGGTTAATACCTCAGTGGTTTTCACCTGGTAAGATGGACAAAGAAGTAATTTAATTTGTAGACGTTTTAAGTGATTGCTTAGCTTTCCTCTACTTTGCATTCCTACCTGTTTTGTAATGTTTGTGTTGTTGTAACGTTCTGACCCGCCCCATCTGGGAAAAAAGAGCTTTATAGCTCATCGGATTCCTCCAGCATAAACAAATATTCTGATTCTGCAATGGACACAATGAGCGAGTTGCCACTCACAGCTCCCTCCACCGCAGCTGCAGGTCCCCCCTTGGCAGTTGCAAGTTCCACCTGCAAACAGGTTAAACACATAACTCAGGTTTTGCTTGAATTTAATCACCGCAATCAAAAGCCATGATGAATCCACTGCTGGACAAAGGCCTTTCCAAGCCACCGCCACCGCAGCCAGAGTCCTGCAATGTAGCAATCTTCCTCGCACCAGGACAAGATCTCATTTCCATTGCTCCATCTCCCGCGGTGAGCGTACAATACTGGCGGCCAGATGAAGCGTTTGTGTGAACGACTGGAAGGTGTTTGTCGATTGCGTGTGTGTGGGTCCTGATCATGGAGATAACACAGTGCCACGTGTGTTTATTCGCCTATGTCCCGTGTGGACGTCACGAATTTTACAATGACGACTCGCATCACACACACACACGCGCTTGGCGTGGGTGCTAAATAAAACTAATGGAGCCAATGCCGTTAATTCAACATGACTCCTCTCCCCTGCTGCACGCAAGTGTTCTACATCTGCGGCCAGCCACGTAAAAACACATTAGGCTGTAATTTCACATCGGCACTAGTCAAGGGACAGAGAAGCTGGCAAAACAGTCCTTTAAGAGGGCCTTCCAGTTTGTTACGGAATCGAGCTTCACAAAGATGCACGCATGTTAACATACACACCGCAATTTAACATGTAGGCTTTGCGACCAATATTATTCATAAAAAGTTGTTTTCGTTTAAATCGCTTAAATATAAATGCATCGTTAACTCACCACCACATTAACCCCCCTCTGATCTTGATAGGCTCACAGTGATTACATCAGCTTACTCTGTTTAAGACCGGAAATAGGAAGACATCGTCAAAATTCTGGCAAAATCGCTTGATGAAGCTGGTTGTAATCACCAGTGAAGCGTCGTACTCAAATTGTATATGTTGTGGGTTTAGTCTCCAACACACCGGTGTACTGAAGTAGTAACTAATTAGTTCGTTATATTTACATGACAAGCCTTACTAATTGGCTGCGTCGGGTGGTGGTGGGTTCACGACACAAATTTACGCGAGCTAAACCAATTTTTTTTTTATTATGAATACACACCGCAATTAACTTTATTTTTGTTTTGTGCATACGTTTACGAAAACAGGCGGGAGGGTTTTGCAAAATCGTTGGATACCTTCACAGCAAGCGCCGGTGCAGCCACCGCCACTTTTGCAACCGCAAGGCCCGCATGGGCCACTGCAGCAGTTGCTGCATGCGGAGGAGTCGCAGGGCGTCTCACCGGTGGTGTCGCAGGGCGTGCCACACGGATTGCAGCAGGAACCGCTGCACGAGCCACCGCAGCAGTTTCCGCATGCGGTGTCACATGCGGTTTCACATGGTGTGCCACTGGACGGGTCACACGGATTGCAACAGGAACCGCTGCACGAGCCACCGCAGCAGTTGCCACTTGCGGTGTCGCATGCGGTGTCACACGGCGTGCCACTGGATGGGTCACACGGATTGCAGCAGGAACCGCTGCACGAGCCACCGCAGCAGTTGCCACTTGCGGTGTCGCATGCGGTGTCACACGGCGTGCCACTGGACGTGCCACACGGATTGCAGCAGGAACCGCTGCACGAGCCACCGCAGCAGTTGCCGCATGCGATGTCACACGGCGTGCCACTGGACGTATCACACGGATTGCAGCAGGAACCGCTGCACGAGCCACCGCAGCAGTTGCCACTTGCGGTGTCACACGGCGTGCCACAGGGCGTGCCACAGGGATTGCAGCAGGAACCGCTGCAAGAGCCACCGCAGCAGTTGCCGCATGCGGTGTCGCATGCGGTGTCACACGGCGTGCCACTGGATGGGTCACATGGCTTGCAACAAGAACCGCTGCAAGAGCCACCGCAGCAGTTGCCGCATGCGGTGTCACACGGCGTGCCGCTGGACGGGTCACACGAATTGCAGCAGGAACCGCTGCACGAGCCACCGCAGCAGTTGCCGCATGCGGTGTCACACGGTGTGTTACATGCATTGTCGCATGAGCCTGAGAAAAAAATGAAATCATCAGGTTCGAGACTCGTAGCTGTTAAATTACTTCCAATGTGAAAACAAACCAAGGTGCAAACACACAGTGACAGAGCAGCAGAAAAATAGGATTACAGGAAATCCACTGCGCAAATATATATTTGTATAACCTCTATCACACCTTAATTCGTTTAAATGAACAATTTTGTACAACTATTTTGCTGTTATAAACACACAGTAGTGTGAATGCAAACTTACATGGACTCTTGCCACAAGAACCACATTCCTGGGCGCAGATGTCTTTGTCGAGACACGCTGAAGAAAGTCATGGGAATACCCCGGAATTAATAATGCAGTACATTTGGTATTCATACCATTCTTATAACACACTCCATACATACTTGAATTAATGGCATCGTATGAGATATCCCTTCATCCTCACTTATTGAGGGAGCACTCACAGTCCAGATTAAGTGGATTTAAAAAAAAAGTGATCTGAGATACAGATTTGTGATCCTTTTTTTCCAGGGCAATTCTGTCACACTGGATAGTGCACTGCTCATTGCTAGAATCCCGAATAGAACGTCTATCTCATCTTATGACAAATATCCTCGCTGTCCATTGTTATTAGATGTCTTTCACGCTGCAGTCTCTGCTGTTCAAGGACATGAAGGTTGCCCTTCAAAGCTACAAGGACATCATCATTGAGGCGACCAAGCACCGAAACTCTGCAAGGGGATTGCTGTGCGCCACTCTCTCAGCTTGCGTTGATGCTGCATCTCGGATGACAGCAAAAGAAAATTGTCTTCCTGAACAATAATTGGTTTTGTTGGTGCCCCCAGCAGAATGTATGTATGTAGAACGTCTTTTTCACCGTACGTAGCCAACCGTGCTAATCGGAGGTGCTAATTGATCTCTTTTGACCACTGTATTGGGGTGCTTCCATTGATGGCTGAGCAACCCAATCAATAACATTGGCAGTGCAACGTACATTTAAAACAACACGCAGAGCCTCAGAGCGACAGCATCTCAAGATGCTGCACAAGAGTGGAGGACACATGCTCGCAGGGGAGGTGACGATTGCAGACGGGATTCGAGGGTGAGAGATGGTATCACGAAGCGAGGCGTTTATTTGTGTTTGGAGGAGAAGAACGGATGACTTGAGACAGGACTGCAGAAGGGAACTGATGCAGCGGTGCAGGCGAGTAGGGACAGAGAGAGAGAGAGAGAGGTCCAAACAGCTGCGCCACCAGGAGGCAGAAGGAGAAACCTCCCATAGAAAGGAGGTGGACCTAGGCTGATGAAGAGGAGGGCAATTTGAGTTTTGTAGAGTGAGGCCAAAAGGCCAGGAGGTAGTCAGGAGCAGGTCTACGATGGCGACTTCAAACGCTGAGAGTTCAATTCGAATGAAAAAAAATCCCATCTCACTTTGCCGTATCAAAGACTCACGTATGTCGGCAGATGGTGGCGAAGTACGGAACAGCGCCAATAATTCAGCCAGTCCATCCTTGTCTGTGAAGCAAAGCGAGCGACTTGCAAGCATCAACACGGGGACAGTTTTAAAGATGTAATAACACGTGCGTGTGTGCCCGAGACAGTGGGGAGCGGTAGTGTAGCGGTTAGCGCTACGCTGCGCTACGAATCTGGCGACCGGGTTTCGATTCCCGCTCACGGCCAACACCAGTGACCATTATCTGAACCGGTCCTGGGCCTCCCCTAGGTCTACTTATCCTCAAATGAGTACCTGGTGCGATGTGTAAACATCACCACTGGAGAAACAAAGGCGGCCAGGCACGGTGTTGGCCACCCCACCCCCTCGCGTACCGTTCCAGCCTTTATAGATGCTCGCTGACAGCACTTGCCCCTACAGTCTGTCAAGGCTATACGGGGGATCGTTGTCTTTGCCTGAGACAGTGAAACAACAGTCATCAGTGACCGTGGGAAGTCTCTGTACTCGAGTCGGGAGGAGTCCCGAGGTGCCAATCGGGGTCCCCCTAGGCAAAGCAGCTGCACTTGGAGATGTTCCGTTACACGATGGGCGCACGCTGGTCCATGTTGTGTTCAAGTGCCGTGCACCACGGACACCATCTGATGAGGAAGATGTTGCGCTTTTTACGGTTAGGATGAATATGTATATATATATTTTTTAACCTATTTGATTTATATTTAGAACCGTGTATATTTTTTTCTGTTCACTCTTTCGTGTGTCTTAAATTTGAATCGCCCAATGTTGTTATGTTTACACGCTAAGCGCTGTGATGATTAAATCGCGAAGGGCGCTATGTTAAATAAAGTTGAAATGATCGATTAAATACGAACGAAAGTGTCACCGTAAGTTTATATTCTATTTGTATTATATTTTTATTTAACCAAGTAAGGCCCACTGAGCTACAAAGCTCTTTTTCAGAAAGCTATCACAAATGATAGCTCAATGAAGTGTCAGGGTCCGGATCGAACCCACAACCTCCTGTACACCGGGCAAGGTAATTAACATTTTTTCCACAGTGGCACCTCAAGCTTAGCTAACACTGAGAACCCTGGTGGGACATTCATAGCAGCCAAATACTCTAATCGCATGTTTTTTTTTTTTAAACGTGGAGGGAAAATCCGGAGGACCCAGCGAAAAACCCACACGACCACAGTGAGGACATGCAAACTCCAAATATACAGCACGCATCAGGGTCGCGATTGAACCCACGACTATCCTATACACCGGGCGAGGTAGTTAACAATCTCGCCACAGTGGCGCTCCCAACTTTAACCAACTCTTGAGAGCCCTGGAGGGGTCTGCGGCTGCCGCCCCTGCTCACCGTTGCACAGGCGGCTGCTTTGGCCCAGCAGGGAGGGGTCGGCCGAGGCGGTGCCGCCAGACAGCATGGTGCGCACAGCCAGGAGGCCGTCCAGCCCGCGAGAGACGCCGCCGGAGAAGCAGCTGCCGAACTTGCGCATCAGCCGCAGGCATGGCTGCGGCTGCTGCGCGTTGCACGGGCAGTCTGCAGACAACGGGCGCCGACCCACGCACAACGCGCAGAGGTGAAGATCCCCGGCCAACGCTGCCCACCCACCACCCTGTGTTGACTCACGCAGGCTCTTGGGAGCAATTGCCTGTTAGCGAGAACCTACGAACGCCGGCACGGCGGCGTGGCCGGTACAACACACGTCTCTCGCGTGCTGATGTTTACCCACCCCACAGCGGATGTTCATTTAAGGCAGAATCGACCTAGGGGAGGTGCAGGACCGATTAAGTTATTCGCCAGCGATGCCGGCCAGGAGTGGGAATAAAACTCAGGTGGCCAGATTTGTAACGCGGCGCGTGAACAGCTACGCCACTGCTCATCCACTGTGCGTGCACACACACACACAGTGCACACACACACACAGCGCACGTGCACACACACACACAGTGCACGTGCACACACACAGTGCACACACACACACAGTGCACGTGCACTCGACGTGTAGACACGTGCCACTGCCTCCGAGGAGGCATAGAAAGCAAATGGATTTTTTACGACTCACCATGGGTGCAGTGGTGATATGATAAAGCTTGCAATCTCGGAGTGACTTGAAGGTGGAGGGGGGGGTGATAAACCGTGCAGAGATGGGACCAGTGTGATGCCATGCGAGACGCTCAGCTGCATGGCAATAAGGTTCATGTACGAGGCAGTGCAGCAGGTAGGTTGTTGAAGACCTATCCGTGCGGTATTTGAGTGTCAGCCGCTCGGACGCGTGGGTTCATCTCTGGGCAAATTTGGTCACTCCAAATTTTATTTTTCATAAAGTGACCATATATCCCAATTTGTCTATCTTTAAACTAAATTCTTAAAAGCGCTTCTGCATAAATCATTATCATCACGAAATGTACTTTATAACTACAGTGGAATCTTGTCTTTCATATTTAATCCTGCTCTGAAGGTCCAGTGCATGAGATGTTTTATTTTGTATTTTCAGGTCCAGGCCAGTGTTATGGGGTTTTGTTTGAATAAAAGTCGCCATATTCTTAGCTCTTTCGGTAAAGTCACATTGAAGGGAAACAATAAAATAATAATATATATCAAACAATAAAATTCTCACGACGTTTCGACCATAACACAAACGGTGATGATGACCGTTTGTGTTATGGTCGAAACGTCGTGATAATTTTATTGTTTTATATATATTTTATTATTTTATTGTTTCCCTTCAACGTGACTTTACCGAAAGAGCTAAGAATATGAATTACTGCAGTCACGAAAGCTTTAGGTCAAATGTCGCCATAATAAAAGTCTCGACCCGTGGCGCAACACGGTCACGGGAGTATAGACTGTTGCACAAAAGGGCAGCAGACAGAGGGGCACAATGAGCAGGAAAGGGATGCTGGGGCAGAAGTCCCCAAGACAAACAAAGAGGGCACGGTTGAGAATCAGCATATTAATTTACAGTGGAATAACCTGACTAGCTATAAAGCTCTTTTCCACAGATGTCCAGCAGGGGTGCGTCAAAAAGTTACAACAAACAATACGACACGATAGGAGTGCAAAGTGAATAAAAGGTAAGCAAATCACAAAAAAAATAAAAGTTAAAACTAAAATTAAACTAGTTTTTATTTTACCAGGCAAGGCTCACTGAGCTATATAGCTCTTTTTCAGAAGTGACATGGCCACAAATGATAGCTCAACAAAGTGGCTTACCATTTGGAAATTTATAGGAGCCAAATAATGATGAACCGGGCAGCAAGGACAGATAGAATGCCAGGGATGAGAGGGTGATGATAGAGAGAAAAAGAGAAGTAAGGAGTGAGCAAAAGTGAGCCGCACGGAGCAGCGTCTGTTTTCTGAGGGGGCGGGGAGAGGGGAGGGATTCAGTCGGAATTGGAGGGGGGGGCACTCACAGAAGTCACATGGTTTACAGGAGGCTTGGGCTGATATATTGTCATCATTTTCAAGCCACTATTAAGGCTTCCCCATGCCATGTGGGTCACGGGGATTATGTGACCATACCCTTTCACCATCCCACACTGACTAGCGTGGCGCGGTGTGATCAAACCACCCCACACGACGGCCACGGAATTGGGAGGGGCCTTCATTCATCAGCGGATTGACAAAGGGCATTGTATACATAGGCACCGAGATATCAACAACTGTTTAATGAAACGACTCAAACAATGCCTCGCGAGCAAGTGGGTCGGTATAGAAAGAACAAAACAAACACGTGTACTGGTGGTGGCGTCGCGTGTAATGCAAAGGTGGAGATGAAATTCACATTTTACTTCCCCGACACTCTATAATTAGCTCTGTGCTGCACACCGGGGAAACGTCACATGACACTTGAATCGATTGGCGGTGACCCGGGTCACCATCGTGACCCGGGGGTGCCAAAACCTCCATAACTCCGAAACCAGAAGGCCTATGAAGACGGAAGATGTCACTGAGCCCGATACACACGCCAAATATGGAAATAAAAAAACACGCAAAACACCCATAACAAGGGGGACTGCTGGGGATTTGTGCGTGGCAACGGCTGTTTATCGCTTGCTTTGAAAGTACATCAGGATGCTGGTCTGGTCATTCCCCAGCACGTTCTGCTTCTTACGGGGGCGGCCACCCTCCTTGTCTTTGGGAGCGAGACCACTTGGAGGCAATGGAGCACCAGGCGCTCTCTTGGTACGGCCGGCGGTCACGGTCGTGCTGGCGGGATCAACATCGTCGTCATCATCGCTCCCAGCGTCGCCCTCCGGCAGGACAGGGTAGTACCAGCGATGCTCCCAGGAAAATAACCTTAAACTATGCCCGGCCCACCAATATTTTGCGGCGACCCGGGCTACCGCCAATCGATTCACTTGCTAAAAAAAACCCCCAATTTTCATTTTGAATGTTGTATACCTCTGCGTATTGTGAATACATCCCAGTAAGCACATACTTAACTAGTGCTGTACTTGTCATGCGGTTTCCCGACCGCACATAGCTGGGCAAGCTAGCCAACCACTTAACGTGCAAACATTCTGGCATAAAATAATAACGACGCCCTCCGCTTCCTTGGAAAGCCTGTTCATTGGCAGTCCCTGAGCCATTGGTGAAGATTCCAATTTCTTTTCAGCACTACCACCACAAGCGGTACTCGCATTATCATTGCCAGAGGGACGATAATGATGATGATAATAATAGCCCGAGTTGTCTCCTGACTGGGATTTGAATGCACACATTTCTCCAGTGTCATTTAATAATGGGGAGGGGCCTTCAAGACTAATCTAATGTCCGCCTTTCTTTAGCCAGGAAAGCCTCAACCGAGCCTCAAGACTCTTTGAGGAGGTGTCGGCATTGGGATGTTAAACCACTTAGATTTAATGAGCGTTTGGAATTGTGGGAGAAAACTTGATTACCCAGGAGAAAAGGCGCGCATGCGAGGGGGATACCACGTAGAAACACAGATGTATTGAATCCCCCTTCCTGGCCACTACGTAGCTGAGTGGGTTTTTAGAGCGTTACAATGTTTGTGTGAGCCACCAACCCTTGCCTCCGAAGTGCTGGCTCAAGGCATGCGCTTGTATGTAAGCCACAATTAAGGTTTTTTGGGTTAGATCGCGTAAATATAAATGCGTTGTTAAACCCGCCACTACCCGACACCGCCAATTAGTAAGGTTCGTCACGCAAACATAACATGGCAATTCGTTACTAGTACAGCACACCGGTGTGTTGGAGAGCAAATCCACAACATTTACAATCCGAGTATGACTTTTCATCATGTAATTACAATGCATATATGTATAATGAACACGTGAATTACAATGGATACCCATTGTAATTAATATGCATTTATTAACCCCCCCCCCACTTCGGACAATTAGGGCTCTCCAATGACGTCATCACATCTATCCCTCTATTTCTGGAACGAAACAGGAGGATTTCTCCACAAATCTGGCTGCCGCCTGATGATGCTGGTTGTAATTATTGGCGAAACGTCGTACTCAGATTGTAAATGTCGTGGCTTGGCTCTCCAACACACTGGTGTGCTGTACTAGTGACAAATTGGCATTTTCTGTTTACGTGACAAACCTTACTAGTTGGCTGTGTCGGGTGGTGGCGGGTTTAACGACACATATATTTACTCGATCTAACCCAAAAAAGCCTGAATTATGGATATTGGTTGCGAAAGCCAACGTGTTAAACTGTATGTAATCCATATTCTTAGCTCTTTCGGTAAAGTCACGTTGAAGGGAAACAATAAAATAATAAAATATATATGAAACAATAAAAATTCTCACGTCTCAACCATAACACAAACGGTCATCATCAGGTGTGTCGGTTTGCATTAATTTATTTATTTGTAAACGGTGTATTTTTTATTTATTAAAAAAACGAAAAAAATTCCAGCGCCACGCGCAGTGATTTGGCAGTTTATTTAGAAGGACTAGTCCATCTATGTTCTGAAAAGAGGAGGGGGGAGACGAAAAATGAATGTATGCTGTCTGAAAGCCACTGTAAGCATGAACAATCAATTAAGACCTGAAATGGTTAATCAAATCTTTCCAATGATTGCTAAGCCAGAATCCATCTTCTCGGTTGAAATTGTCTCTGTGCTTGTATATGTGGATAGCCTCATGAACGAATCTCTCATGGTAGCCAGATGGCTTACAAAGAACCTCTGTCTTGGAAAAGTCAATGTCATGTGAGCCTACTGAATTATAACAATGATATATTTTACATATGATTCCGGACATACAGTACCCTGGTGTCTACAAACTAAGTTGCCTCTGTGGTAGTAGTTAGATTGGAGAAACCAAACGCCATGTCTCGGACCGCATTCGTGAACACAAAGCAGACCTTAAACACGGTAGGACCAACACCTCGGCCGTGGCAGATCATTGTTATAATTCAGTAGGCTCACATGACATTGACTTTTCCAAGACAGAGGTTCTTTGTAAGCCATCTGGCTACCATGAGAGATTCGTTCATGAGGCTATCCACATATACAAGCACAGAGACAATTTCAACCGAGAAGATGGATTCTGGCTTAGCAATCATTGGAAAGATTTGATTAACCATTTCAGGTCTTGATTGTTCACGCTTACAGTGGCTTTCAGACAGCATACATTAATTTTTTCGTCTCCCCCCTCTTCTTTTCAGAACATAGTTGGACTAGTCCTTCTAAATAAACTGCCAAATCGCTGCGCGTGGCGCTGACGTTTTTATAAATAAATAAACCGTTCAAAAATAAATAAATGCAAACCGACACACCTGATGACGACCGTTTGTGTTATGGTCGAAACGTCGTGAGAATTTTTATTGTTTTATATATATTGTATTATTTTATTGTTTCCCTTCAACGTGACTTTACCGAAAGAGCTAAGAATATGAATTACTGCAGTCACGAAAGCTTCAAATCAAAATGTATGTAATCCATTAATTTTTGAGATTCTCGGTTCATGTGTTTCCTGTGCCACTGCTCTGTACAATTGTGCTTCTCAATTCGATTAGTGTTTCAGGACTTGACTTGTAAATGTGCAAGACGCAATTTCGGGTAACAAACGACGATGAATAGAGATGTCCGGTTTCAATAGATTTGTCTTCCGGGGTTTGATGAAAGTTGTTCAATCAGTCCATCAACGACGCTCTGGCATTCTGAGCACAGACGCGAGCGTGAAGTGGTGCATTTAAATCATCCTCACTCACCATTGATTCCCTTTCTCGGGGCAGCAGACCCCGAGGTGATCAGCAGGACGAGGATGATGAGTTTGGACAGCATGGTGGTTCTAGTCTCCTACTCGACACAGAGACAACACTAAAACCGTGGAGACATCGAATGCGTCAGTGTTCACGCACAAGCACACGCCTTAAACGTGCGATGTGCGCGCGACAGCATCGCAGGAAGATGTTGCACAATCAGATTCAGAATATGCATTTATACTGGAGGAATCCGATGAGCTATAAAGCTCTTTTTCCCCACAGGTTTCCAGTCAGGGCAGGTCAGAACGTTGCAACAAACAATACAAAAACCCGATAGGAGTGTAAAGTATAGTAAAGGTAAACAAATCACTGAAAACAATATACAAATAAAACTTAACTATGTTTAAT